GCTCGCTCCGTGCCGCTTCACTGGCAGCCAGGTAGGCTCCTGGTGGGCGGGGCACTGCTCGCCGGCCCGGGAGGAGGGACTCTCATGCACACGGGACCTTCCCAACCCCGGAGCTGCCTTGGCAGTGGGCAGGGCCAGGGCTGCCGCCTCACAGATGTGCTCGCACTCGCTCCCCCTCCCCCACCCGCACCCTTCCCGGGCGCCTGGGCCGTCAGCGTCCCTCAGCCCTGCGTGCCCATTTCAGATCGCCCACCGTGACGACGCCCTGCCGTTCGCCCACGTGGCCATCGCCGTGGAGGGGCCTGGCTGGGCCAACCCGGACAACGTGGCCCTGCAGGTGGCCAACGCCACGATCGGCCACTACGACCGCACCTATGGCGGCGGCGTGGTGAGTGCCGTGGGCGGGGCCGGTCTCGGAGGGGAGGGCTCTGGGCGGCATGCCCTGCCCTGTGGGGGAGGGGTGGCCGCTGACCGCCTTCGCCTGCAGCACCTGTCCAGCCCGCTGGCCTCAGTCGCCGTGGCCAACAAGCTGTGCCAGAGTTTCCAGACCTTCAACATCTGCTACGCGGAGACCGGCCTGCTGGGCGCGCACTTTGTCTGCGACCGCATGAGCATCGACGACATGGTGTTCTTCCTGCAGGGCCAGTGGTGAGGGCAGCGCGGGGGCCGGGAGTGGGGAGGGGCCTGGGGGACAGGAGGGGGGGCGGGGAGCAGAGGAGGGGACCTGGGGGGCGGGGAGCAGGGGAGGGGACCTGGGGGGCGGGGAGCAGGGGGGGACCTGAGGGGCGGGGAGAGGGGGGACCTGGGGGACAGGAGGGGGGGCAGGAGCAGGAGGAAGGGGGGGAGCAGGGGGGCCCGGACAGCTCCTCTCACCCCCCTCGCCCCCCCCCCCCCTCCCCGCCAGGATGCGCCTGTGCACCAGCGCCACGGAGAGCGACGTGCGCCGTGGCGGGAACCTCCTCAGGAACGCCCTCGTGTCCCACCTGGACGGTGAGCTCTGCCTGCGTGACGGCCGGGCTGCTCCTGCCCAAGGCGAGGAGAAGGGAGACGAGGCTGCGCCACAGCCCACCCCGCCCACAGCAGCCGGGACCAGACCCGGGCGGGCGGCCAGGGGGTGGCCGTTCCCGGTGACAGTGGGGTCAGAAGGGTCCAGGGTCAGCCGAAAGCTGGGCGGACCGGGGACCTGTAGCCTGCCCTCCCCTGGCAGGCACCACTCCTGTGTGCGAGGACATCGGACGCAGCCTCCTGACCTACGGCCGCCGCATCCCCCTCGCCGAGTGGGAAAGCAGGATTGCGGTACGGCGGGGCGGTGTGGGCTCTGGCCTGGCTGACTCCGATGGGCACCCCGGGTGCAGCAGAGGCCTGGGCTTCCGCGGGGCTGGCGGGGCGGAGGGAAGGGACAGCAGAGGCCTGGCTGTGGGGTGGACGAGCCCTGCCCTCCCTGCAGGGCCGGGGGCAGTGCCAAGGTCTGTGCCGAAGCCCTTGGTCGGCGGGGTCGTCCTGACGGGTGGGGTGGTGCCCAGTGCCCGCCCGTCAGGGTGCCCTGCTTCGCCTGCAGGAGGTCGATGCCCAGATGGTGCGTGAGGTCTGCTCCCAGTACTTCTATGACCAGTGCCCCGCGGTGGCCGCAGTGGGTGAGTGACCGGCCGGCCAGCTGCTCTCCTCCCTGGGCCTTTCCTCCCCCCTCTCCCTGCCCCTCCGCCCGCGCTCTCCCCCCTCCCCCCCCCCCCCCCCCCCCCCCCCCCGCCTGTGCTGGAGCAGCCAGAGCCCCAAGAGGCTGTGCCGTAGTCTGGCTGCCAGGGAGTTCTTGCTCAGAAAACCTGTCCCAGCAGCTCCTTGACTCCCTGCCAAGCTGCCTCCCTCGGTGCCCGACCCTCCAGGTAACGGGCACCACGGGGTGGGGCTCGGCGCCGAGCGTGAAGGGACAGGCTCAGCGCCCCCGGACGGCCTCCCCCGCCCTCCGCCTGCCTGAGCCGCTCGGCTGCCCCGGGCTGGGTGCGGTGCAGGGCCAGGTGTCCCTGCACGGCGGGCGCCCGCTTACCCGCCCATCCCCGCAGGCCCCATTGAGCAGCTCCCGGACTACAACCGGACCCGCAGCGGCATGTTCTGGCTGCGCTTCTAGGGGGAGCCTGCCCGCCCCACGGGACGCGCCTCAGCCCTCGCCCTGCCACCCGGCACCAATAAAGCTGGTGAGAGCCGCTGTCCTCTGGCCTTGTGTGGGTCCGCGTCCTCCCGCCCCCGCAGGCTGTGTCCTCGCGGGCCAGCAGCAGGCGGGAAGCCTTTGATGCCTCAGGCAGAGGCCAGATGTTCCCACTTAGCCACGTGGGGCGATCCCCTCCAGGACGTCCCGGGTGAGGCAGGGCGCCACGGGAACTGCACGCCAGCCTCGGCCCTCGGGAGGCCCCGGGACTCGGGTGCTCAGGCGGAAGTCCCTGGCTGTCGCCCAGGGAGCCCCCTTCATGTTTACTCTGGATCCAGGAGGAGGGAGCCTGGGCATGGTGCTCCATTTGGCTCCTCGCTGCTGCCTGGACAGGCAGGGCAGAAACGCCTGCCTCTCGCCCGCTCGCATGCTGGCGCTGACTCAGGCTCCAAGAATAGCCCTGAGCTCAGTGGGACCCGAACCCCCTCCCTGCCTCGGTCGGTCTCCCAGGCAAGTCCTGAGCTGCTGCCGTCCCCTCCCCATCTTCCGAGGCTCTGGCTCTGGTCCCCTGGCCCCCGGGGCCCTGTGCAGGCAGGTAGGGGAGGTCCTCTTCCTGCCCCAGCCCTGGAGTCAGGTCCCGGGAGTGGGGGGGAGGGGGCAAGTCTCCGAGGAAGGTGTTGCTGGGAGTTGGAGCAGGTCCTGGGTCGGGATTGCTGGGGACGGTTCAGAAGGCCCGGCCTCAGCAGCCAGAGCACCGTGGACTCCCTCCCGCCGTCAGGAAGTAGCGCCAGCTGCTTCTGGAGCTCGGGCTGGGGGCACTCAGACCCCCGCACTGGGGCCCAGGGAGCAGTGTGCTCACAGGCAGCTCACCAGGCAGAGCTGGAGTCCTGAGGGTGAACTGGCTTTCTAAGCCCCGGCCAGGGCCTGGAAGGGCTGTGTCCCAGGTGGGGAGGGGGGCCTGCCTGGAGGCGGCAGCCAGGGGCCCAACAGACCACATGTGTGCTCTCGAGGCTCCCAGGAGCTCCAGACTCGCACTCGGCCCCAGCCCTGCCTCCCGCAGCCTCTCCCAGCATCCTCGGAATGACCCGCCCAGCAGGCGGCCTGCCTGCCTTTTGGGGCCCCTCCGGGTTCCGGTGAGGTTTGCCAGCTGGGCCTGTCTCCCCTGAAGGCTCACCCAGTGTCCACACTGTGTGCCAGTTGCTCCCGCTCTCACCCACCCTGCTGTGCAAGGGGAGGGGGTCTTGGGGCGGAGCTGCCGCGGGACAGGAGCGTGTCTGGGCCCGGCCGGCTGGCTCAGTGTTGGGCAGCAGCCTATGAGCCAGGAGGTCAGGGTTTGGTTCCTGGTCGGGGCACAGGCCCGGGCTGCAGGCTCCATCCCCAGTGGGGCGTGCAGGAGGCAGCCGACCCATGATTCTCATCCTAGGGGTTTCTCTCTCCCTCTGAAATCAATAAAAATACATTAAGAAAAAAAAAAACACAAGACTTGTCTGGTTCTCTGCTACCCTCACCTGTCGGTCTGTTGGGGGTGGGGGGTCCTGGCAGACGCTGAGAGCGTGGCCCTGGGAGGTGTGGGCCCTGTGGTCACAGCTCGGCACCCCAGGAGAACGAGGTCGCCTCTGCCTTCTGGGTGACGGGACACAGGCCGCAGAGCCCAGTGGCTGTCCCTGGAGCCACAGGCCCTGTCCCGGGGAGACCAGTTCAACAAGCGCCACCCCGGCTCTCCCCACGGCCTGGGTCCCCACTCCGCCAGGGCCCGGCATGCTGGGAGGCTTGGTGGCAGCGGCGAGGTTTCCAGAATGATCCGGGCTGGCAGGGAAGACGGAGGGGAGGCCTGGGCACCCTCTGCCTCTGATGGACACGCACACCGTCACCTCCTCTGATGGCCCTGACGGGGGTCCTGGGCGGCCTGTCCAGGCCCAGGAGACGAGTGGGAAGCCAGGCTGGTTGGGGTGGGGGACGGTGAGGAAGGTGGGAGCTACAGGGCGTGGGCAGGGGGAGGGGAGCCAGGGGGCCCCTGCCTGGGGCGGCCGGAGGAAGCGGGTCTTGCTATGTCAGGAAGAGGAGGTGGCGGAGGCAGGGGGTCTGGCCTGAGGCAGAACAGGGGAGCAGGCAGGAGGGCGAATTCCTGAGGAAGGAGCTGTCACTGTGGGTGGTCCCTGCAGGCACAGCTGGATGGCATCTGTCTGGGACGGTTCCGGCACGTGGGGTGCAGGGTGCTGGATGGACACGTATGCATAAGCGTGAGATTCTCTCCTGACCCCTCTCGCACACGCGCACACGCGCGAGGGCACGCCCTGGGGAGAGCTCCCAGCCCTTGTTGAGGGGCTGCTCTGCTTGTCCAGGGGGTGGGGGTGGCACAGGAGACCCCCCCAGGATGGAGGGGCTGAATCACAGGCGGCTGTCCAGCCCCCAGGGTGGGTGAGTCACTGCCCAGGAGCCTGGGAACCCGCCGCCAGTGCCCGGGCTCGGTGCCAGCTCAGCCAGGACCTCTGCCCCCGTCCCCACGGCCCCACTGTCTGCAGACCCTTGGGGGGTTCCCAGGAGCCCTGCGATGTGGGGCTCTGAGGGGAGTCGGAGCATCTGTCCATATGGCGGGGCGGCGAGGCGGCGGCCGCTGGGCCGGTGGGTGGAGGCGGCCCCTGGTCCCCGCCCGCGCCCCGCCCCCCGGGATTAGGGACTTTTCTCGCCGGGGCTGGGGCTGCGGGACTCCGCGGCGGCTGGCGGGGGAGCCAGCGGACCGGACCAGACCGGACCCGCAGGCAAGACTGGGACGGGGGGTTGGGGAGCACCGGGCTCGGACGCCAAGGCGGCGGGTGCGGGACCAGTGCGGGGTCCTGGCTGACCGTCCCCCACCCCCAGGATGAAGCTGCCGCTCCTGGTGGCCGCGCTCTGCGCCGGGATCCTGGCCAGGGCACCCCGAGCGCAGGCCCAGGCCGCGGAACGAGGTGGGTACGACCAGGAGGGACCCGCTCCGCGGCCTGCACCCAGTCCCCGTCCCCATCCCCACGGGCCCGCCCCCGTCCCCACGGCCCCGCACCCCTTCCCCGCGCCCCATCCCCGCGGCCCCGCGCCCCGTCCCCGCGGCCCCGCGCCCCGTCCCCGCGGCCCCGCGCCCCGTCCCCGCGGCCCCGAATCCCGTCCCCGCCCCGCGTCCCCGCTGCCCCGTCGCCCCGAATCCCGTCCCCGCGGCCCCGCGCCCCGTCCCCGCGGCCCCGCGCCCCGTCCCCGCGGCCCCGCGCCCCGTCCCCGCGGCCCGCGCCCCGCGCCCCGCGCCCCGTCCCCGCGGCCCCGCGCCCCGCCCCCGCGGCCCCGCGCCCCGTCCCCGCGGCCCCGCGCCCCGTCCCCGCGGCCACACTTGGCCTTGGTCCCTGGCTGCCCCACGCACAGGCCCCTGCGTCTCCCTGGTCTCCCCAAACCCTCCAGGACACGCCTGTCTCCAAACCGCACCCAGCCTATGCACCCCAACCCGACCCCCAGATGCGCCCTGGCTTTCTGCCCGGTCACTCCGCAGGCGTGCAGGCTGCGCTCCTCTCACCACCCTGGCGGGAGGGGCTGGGGGGAGGGGCTGAGAAAGGTGCCGCTGCTCCGCAGTGACCTGCACGCGCCTCTACGCCGCTGACATCGTGTTCCTGCTGGACGGCTCCTCGTCCATCGGCCGCGCGAACTTCCGCGAAGTGCGGGCCTTCCTGGAGGGGCTGGCGCTGCCCTTCGCGGGCGCGGCCGCGGGCCCCGGCGTGCGCTTCGCCGCGGTGCAGTACAGCGACGACCCGCGGTGAGCGTCCGGCCGCCGCCCACTGCCCTCCTCCCCCAGCCGGCCAGTGCCCCGCAGAGGGCGTGCCTGGGGAGCCAGGGCTCACCCCTCAGAAGCCCTGCCTGCTGGGCTCCCCCACTCCCCGCCCCCCTAGCCTTCGGACCCAGAGGGCCTCTGCCAGGCAGCAGCCCTCCTCCTGCGGTTCCTTCACTGACCCACAGCCTGGCCCGGAGGGAGGAGGGAGGCCGGAGGGAGGAGTGGGGGGAGGCCGGGAGGAGGCCGGGAGGAGGGGGGGGCCGGGAGGAGGGAGGGAGGAGGGCCCGGGAGGAGGGGGGGGGGCCGGGAGGAGGGGAGGGAGGAGGGCCGGGAGGAGGGGGGGGGCCGGGAGGAGGGAGGGAGGAGGGCCGGGAGGAGGGGGGGGGGGGGGCCGGGAGGAGGGAGGGAGGGGGGCTCGGGAGGAGGGGGAGGGGGCGCGGGAGGGAGGGATCAACTCTGAGGGAGGAGGGCGGGGAGGAGGGGGGCTGGGGGGAGGAGGGGGGGGGGAGGGGAGAGGGGGAGGGAGGGCTGGGCGGGGGGGGGGGGGGGGGCCGACGGGGGGGGGCCAGGAGCACCAGGGCTTGAGGCCGGCCCTGGCCCAGCCACAGGCGGACATGGGACACTGAGGAGTTGGCTTGGGGTGTCAGAGGTGGAGGAAGGAACCACAGGGCCAAGAGGACCCCCAAGGTGCCTGACACCCCACCCTCACCCAGGGCCCCTTGAGACCAGGGCGGGAAAGGGCCGGCCCGGTCTGTTGCCACCCCCCCCCTCCCCCCCACAGGACAGAGTTCGGGGCCTGGAGACGCGCTGGGTCTGGTGAGCGAGGTGATCCACGCCCTCCGCGAGCTCAGCTACAAGGGGGGCAACACACGCACGGGCGCCGCCATCCTGCACGTGGCCGACCGCGTCTTCCTGCCCCCGCTGGCCCGGCCCGGCGTGCCCCAGGTGCCCCCGCCCCCACGGTGCCCTCCCCCGCCCCCACGGTGGCCCCCCCCCCCGCCCCCACGGTTGCCCCCCCCCCCCCCCCCACGGTGCCCTCCCCCCGCCCCCACGGTGCCCCCCCCCGCCCCCACGGTGCCCTCCCCCCGCCCCCACGGTGCCCTCCCCCGCCCGGCCCCAGGTCCCTCCCCCGCCCGGCCCCCCAGGTGCCCTCCCCCGCCCGGCCCCCACGGTGCCCTCCCCCGCCCGGCCCCCAGGTGCCCTCCCCCCCGCCCCCACGGTGCCCTCCCCCGCCCGGCCCCCACAGTGCCTTCCCCCGGCCCCACGGTGCCCTCCCCCGGCCCCCCCACGGTGCCCTCCCCCTGCCCCCACGGTGCCCTCCCCCGCCCGGCCCCCCAGGAGCCCTCCCCCGCCCGGCCCCACAGTGCCCTCCCCCCGGCCCCCCACGGTGCCCTCCCCCCGCCCGGCCCCCAGGTGCCCTCCCCCCGGCCCCCACGGTGCCCTCCCCCCCCGCCCGGCCCCCAGCTGCCCTCCCCCCACCCGGCCCCCAGGTGCCCTCCCCCCGGCCCCCAGGTGCCCTCCCCCCGCCCGGCCCCCAGGTGCCCTCCCCCTGGCTCCCACGGTGCCCTCCCCCCGGCCCAGTGTGCCCAAGGTGACCCCCCCTGCCCCGGCCCCCCAGGTGACCCCTCCGGGGCCTGGCCCCCAGCTTCGGTGTCTGCGGCCGCCCCGCTGACCCCTCCCCACGCAGGTCTGCATCCTCATCACGGACGGGAGGTCCCAGGACCTGGTGGACACGGCCGCCCAGAGGCTGAAGGGCCAGGGCGTCAAGCTGTTCGCTGTGGGTGAGTCCCGCGGGCCGGGGGCAGGGCCGGGGGCAGGGCCGGGGGCCGGGGGCGGGGGCCGGTGGGCAGGCCGGCGGCGGCGGGCGGGGGGGGCCGGCCAGGCCGGGGGCAGGGCCGGGGGCAGGCTGGGGGCCGGGGGTGGGGGTGGGGGTGGGGTGGGGGAGCCAGGCCGGGGGCAGGGCCGGGGGCCGGGGGTGGGGGTGGGTGGGGGAGCCAGGCCGGGGGCAGGGCCGGGGGTGGGCTGGGGGCTGGGGGGGGGGCGGGCGGTGGGCGGGCGTACGGCTCAGCCCCACGCCTCTCCCCAGGGATCAAGAACGCGGACCCCGAGGAGCTGAGGCGAGTGGCCTCCCAGCCGACCGCCGACTTCTTCTTCTACGTCAACGACTTCAGCATCCTGCGGACGCTGCTGCCCCTGGTCTCCCGGCGGGTGTGCACCAGCGCGGGCGGTGTGCCCGTGGCCCTACCCCGTGAGTACCGCCCGCGCTGGCCTGCGCCCGGGCTGCTGCCCTGCGACCCGACCCCTGACCCCAGCGCCCACACGAGCACCGAGCCTGACCCTGCTGCCTGATCCCCGCTTCCCCAGCCGACGGCTCGCCCTCGGGCCCGCGGGACCTGGTGCTGTCCGAGCCCACCGGCCAGTCCCTGCGGGTGCAGTGGACGGCGGCCAGCGGCCCCGTCAGCGGCTACCAGGTCCAGTACACGCCCCTGACAGGCCTGGGCCAGCCGCGGCTCGGCGAGCGGCGGGAGGTAACGCTGTCCGGGGGAGGGGAGGAGGGGAAGGGCCGAGGACTGGGCACTGGGCACTGGGCACTGGGCAGGGCTCGGTGACCTCTGACCCCGGGCAGGTGAGTGTCCCGGCCGGCGAGACCGGCACGCGGCTGCAGGGCCTGCAGCCCCTGACCGAGTACCAGGTGACGGTGATCGCCCTCTACGCCAACAGCGTCGGGGAGGCCGTGAGCGGGACGGCGCGGACCAGTGAGCACCTGCTACCCCGCCCACCCCTCCCGCCCACCCGGGACCCCACAGCTCTCCGCTAACCCTGCGGGCCCTTCCCCAGCCGCCCTGGAGGGGCCGGAGCTGACCGTCCAGAACACTACCGCCCACAGCCTCCTGCTGGCCTGGCGGGGCGTGCCGGGCGCCACCGGCTACCGCGTGACCTGGCGGCTGCTGAGCGGTGAGCGAGGGGTGTGGGCCGCAGGCCGCTCTGCACCCCAGAGGCGCTGGGGGCCGGGTCAGCCGCACTGACTCTCTGCGCCCGCCAGGCGGGCCCACGCAGCAGCAGAGCTGGGCCCGGGCCAGGGGTCCGCGCTGCTTCGGGACCTGCAGCCGGCGCTGACTACGAGGTTACCCTGAGCGTCCTGCGCGGTGGCCAGCGTGGGGCCCGCCGCCTCCCTGACAGCCCGCACGGGTGAGGCCCGGCTGCCCGCGGGCGGGGCTGCCCTCGGGCGGGCGGCGGGCGGGCGGGCGGCGGGCACCGGGGCCGGGGCTGCCCTCGGGCGGGCGGGCGGGCGGCGGGCACCGGGCGGGGCTGCCTCGGGCGGGGCGGGGCGGGCACACGGGCGGGGCTGCCCTCGGGCGGGCGGGCGGTCGGCGGGCACCGGGCGGGGCTGCCCTCAGGCGGGCGGGCGGCGGGCGCGGGCACCCCGGGCGGGGCTGCCCTCGGGCTGGGGCGGGCGGTGGGGCGGGGGGCGGGCACCGGCGGGGCTTGCCCGCGGGCGGGCGGGCGGTGGGCGGGCGGGCGGGCACCCGGGCGGGGGCTGCCCTCGGGGCGGGCGGGCGGGACGGGGCACCGGGCGGGGCTGCCCTCGGGGCGGGCGGGCGGGCGGGCTGCGGGCACCGGGCGGGGCTGCCCTCTCGGCGGGGCGGGCGGTGGGCACCGGGCGGCGGGGCTTCCCTCGGGTGGGCGGCGGGCGGGCGGCGGGCACCGGGCGGGGCTGCCCTCGGGCGGGCGGGCGGGCGGCGGGCACCGGGCGGGGCTGCCCTCGGGCGGGCGGGCGGGCGTGGGCGGGCAACGGGGGGGCCTGGCCCCTGGCGGGCGGCGGGCACCGGGCGGGGCTGCCCTCAGGGCGGGCGGGCGGGCGTGGGCACCGGGCGTGGCTGCTCCTCGTGCGGGACGTGTGGGCGGCGGGCACCGGGAGGGAAGGCTGCCCTCGGGCGGGCGGGCTGTGGGCACCGGCGGGGTGCCCTCGGGCGGGGGGCGGGCAGTGGGCACCGGGCTGGCCGCTGACCCTGTGCCCGCAGACGCTCCTGTGGAGCAGACCCTGCGCCCCACCATCCTGGGCCCCACCTCCATCCTCCTGTCCTGGAACCTTGTCCCCGCGGCCCGCGGCTACCGGCTGGAGTGGCGGCGGGAGAGTGGTCAGTGCCGACCGGAGGGCGGGCGGCGGGCGCGGCTGGCGCGGCTCGGGGCCTGACCTCGCCGCCCCGCAGGCCTGGAGGCGCCGCAGAAGCTGGTGCTGCCCCCCGAGGTGACCCGCTACCAGCTGGACGGGCTGCAGCCGGGCACGGAGTACCGCCTCACCCTCTACACGCTGCTGGAGGGCCGGGAGGTGGCCACGCCGGCCACCGTGGTCCCCACAGGTGAGGGCTCGGGCCGGCCCGGCCAGAGGGGCAGGGACAGCCCCGGCCGCTCCTCACGCTGTGGCCTCCAACAGGGCCAGAGCGGCCGGTGGGCCCCGTGACAGACCTGCGGGCGACCCAGCTGCCCGGGCAGCGGGTGCGGGTGACCTGGAGCCCGGTCCCAGGTGCCACCGAGTACCGCATCGCTGTGCGCGGCACCCAGGGTGAGGGACACAGCCAGCACCCTCCACGCCCCCACTAACGCTCCAGTCCTCAGTCTGACCGCACCGCACCCCTTCACTCCCTGTCCCTCCCGCTCCAACGCCAGCTCTGCTCTGCCCGTCTGTCTCCACTTCCATCCATGTCCATGTCCCCGCCCACTGACCCCACCTCCATGTCCCCGCCCACTGACCCCACCTCCATGTCCCCGCCCACTGACCCCACCTCCATGTCCCCGCCCACTGACCCCACCTCCATGACCCCGCCCACTGACCCCACCTCCATGTCCCCGCCAACCCACCCTCCATGTCCCCGCCCACTGACCCCACCTCCATGTCCCCGCCCACTGACCCCACCTCCATGACCCCGCCCACTGACCCCACCTCCATGTCCCCGCCCACTGACCCCACCATCCTGCACCTCCCTTTGCCATGCCCTTGCCATCCCGTGTCCCTGTCCATCACTGGGTCCTGTTTCTCACGTCCTCACCTCACCCCTCTCCAGCCCATGCCCATCCCTCACAGTATCTGTCCGTCACTGACCGCCGCCCTCCCCTCAGGCCCCCCCCACTCCCGGTCTCTGCCTCCCCCGTCCCAGACTCTGCCTCCCCCTCCTGGTCTCTGCCTCCCCCGTCCCCCCCTCTGCCTCCCCCGTCCCCCCCTCTGCCTCCCCCGTCCCCCCTCTTCCTCCCCCGTCCCCCCCTCTGCCTCCCCCCCGTCCCCCCTCTGCCTCCCCCGTCCCGGTCTCTGCCTCCCCCGTCCCGGTCTCTGCCTCCCCCGTCCCCCCTCTGCCTCCCCCGTCCCGGGCTCAGGCCCCCCGCTTCCCCTCAGGAGTGGAGAGGACCCTGGTGCTCCCCGGGAGCCAGACGGCCTTCGACCTGGATGACGTCCGCGCGGGGCTGAGCTACACCGTGCGGGTGTCCGCCCGCGTGGGCTCCCGCGAGGGCAGTGCCAGCACCCTCGCCGTCGGCCGGGGTGAGCGCAGGCGGGGGTGGGGCCAGCGGCCCGGCGCTGACCCTGCTGGTCCTGGTCGTGACCCCCGACCTCCGCTTCGACCCCCAGAGCACGAAAGCCTGCTCGCGGTCCCAGGACTGCAGGTGGCGGCGTCGGACCTGACTCGCGTGCGGGTGGCCTGGGGGCCCGTGGCCGGAGCCAGCGGCTATCGGATCAGCTGGAGGACGGACAGTGGTCCGTGGAGGGCGGGGCGGCCGAGGGGGGCGCTCGGGGTGCGGGGCCGCGGGGCCGCGGGAGCCAGGCCCACACCTCCCTCTGACCCAGGCCCCGAGGCCAGCCGGACGCTGCCCCCGGAATCCACGGGCACGGACATCACGGGGCTGCGGCCCGGCACCGCCTACCGCGTGTCCGTGCGGGCCCTGCGGGGCCGAGAGGAGGGCCCCGCCACCATCACCGCCGCCCGCACCGGTCAGACCCCCGCCTGCCCGGGGCCCTCGGACCCTGCCTCTCCGCTCCGCCTCCGCCTTCTCCTTCCCCGGCCCCTGGCTGCCTCCTGCTCCGTGGGCACCTCCTCCCTCCCTCTCTCCCTCCCGTCTCGGCCGCCGCCACCTGCCCTCAGATCCCCCTGTCCTCTCAGGATCAGATCCCCCTTCTACCCTCATCGGACCGTTCCCTGGCCCCCCTCTCAGACACCTGCCTTCTGTCGGCCCCCGACACTCCCCCATCAGACCCCCTCTGCCCCCCAGCGGACGCCCCTGCCTCCCCCATCAGAGCCCTCTGCCCCCCAGCGGACGCCCCTGCCTCCCTCGTCAGAGCCCTCTGCCCCCCAGCGGACGCCCCTGCCTCCCCAGTCAGAGCCCTCTGCCCCCCAGCGGACGCCCCTGCCTCCCCCGTCAGAGCCCTCTGCCCCCCAGCGGACGCCCCTGCCTCCCCCGTCAGACCCCCTCTGCCCCCCAGCGGACGCCCCTGCCTCTCCGCAGACCCCCTGGACCCGCTGAAGAACGTCCGTGTGACCGAAGCCACCAGCTCCGCGGCCACCATCGCCTGGAGCAGGGTTCCTGGCGCCACGGGATACGGGGTCTCCTGGCGCGCAGGCTACGGTGGGGCCGGGTCGGGGGCCGGGAGGGTGGGGGCTGGAGGGGCAGGACGGGTGACAGGGAGGCCGGGCAGGGCCGGGGCCGGCGTCTGGCGAGCCCTGGAGCTGCCCTCCCACCCCCAGGCCCCGAGAGGTCCCGGCAGGTGTCGGGGGAGGCCGCGGCGGCCCGGCTGGACGGGCTGGAGCCGGACACAGAGTACACGGTGCGCGTGTGGGCCCACGTGGCCGGTGTGGACGGGCCCCCCACGGCGCTGGCTGTGCGGACCGGTGAGCGGACCTCTGACGGGCCCCGCCCTGCCGTGTGGTCCTGGCCGCTCCGGCCGGCCCTGCACCCCTCAGTGCCTTCTCCCCACGCCGACCGCGCGTCCACCCCAGCGCCCTCCGGGGCTCCCGCTCCCGCTCACAGGCTCCCGTACTGACCTCTGACCTCTGACCTGTGCCTTGGCCAGCCTGCCCTGCCGGCCACTCCGTGGCCCCTGACCCCTTATCCCTCCTCCGCCCCCAGACCCCGTGCCCGTGGGCAGTGTGTCCAAGCTGCAGATCCTCACCGCGTCCAGCGACGTCCTGCGGGTCACCTGGGTGGGCGTCCCTGGAGCCACAGCCTACAGACTGGCCTGGGGCCGGAGCGAGGGTCTGTCTGCCCCGCCCTGACCCCTGGCTGCCCTGACCCCTGGCTGCCCTGACCCCTGGCTGCCCTGACCCCAGCCCCAACCTGACCCCTGGCTGCCCTGACCCCAGCCCCAACCTGACCCCTGGCTGCCCTGACCCCTGGCTGCCCTGACCCCTGGCTGCCCTGACCCCTGGCTGCCCTGACCCCTGCCCTACCCTGACCCCAGCCCCACCCTGCCCCCTGGCTGCCCTGCCCCCTGCCCCAACCTGGCCCCTGGCTGCCCTGACCCCTGGCTGCCCTGACCCCAGCCCCAACCTGACCCCTGGCTGCCCTGACCCCAGCCCCAACCTGACCCCTGGCTGCCCTGACCCCTGGCTGCCCTGACCCCTGCCCTACCCTGACCCCAGCCCCACCCTGCCCCCTGGCTGCCCTGCCCCCTGCCCCAACCTGGCCCCTGGCTGCCCTGACCCCTGGCTGCCCTGACCCCAGCCCCAACCTTACCCCTGGCTGCCCTGACCCCTGCCTGGCCTGACCCCGCCCTGACCCCACCCTGACCCCGGCTCCCCCTGTCCTCCGTGGCACCCCTGATTGTCGCCCCGCCCCCCGCCCTCCCCTCAGGGGGCCCCACCAGTCAGCAGGTGCTCCCCGGAAACGCGGAGTCCGCAGAGATTCGCGACCTCGAGGGCGGAGTCAGCTACGCGGTGCGGGTGACCGCGCTGGTCGGGGACCGCGAGGGCGCCCCGGTCTCCATCCTCGTCACCACGCGTAGGCCCGCCACTGGGAGAGGGCCGTGGGCGGGGCCGCGGGGGCGGGGCCGCGGGGCGGGGAGACGCCTGGGATAGGCAGAGGGGCCGTCTGGGGGCGGGGCGTGCTCCGCGGCCGGCCTGGGATTGGCGCAGGGGCCGCGGGGGCGGGCCTCCTGATTCCCGCGCTTTCCTGCAGCGCCCGCCCTGCAGCCGGCCGTGGAGGGCCTGCGCGTGGTGCGGAGAGGCCAGCACTCGCTGGGCCTGCGCTGGCGGCCGGCGCCCGGGGCGCACGGCTTCCGGCTGCGCTGGCGGCCCGAGGGTGAGCGGTGCCCCGGGGCGGGGCTGGGGCGGGCGGGGCAGCGGAAGGGGAGACGGCCGGGGGGACCTGGTGGTCACAGGCGGGCGAGGTCCCGGGCAGGAGGGCTGAGGCCGAGCGCGGCGGCCGTTACCCGCGCTGTGACACGCCCGCCCCTCCGCGCCCGCCCAGGCGGCCAGGACCAGTCTCGGGTCCTGGGGGCCGAGCTGAGCAGCTATGAACTGGACGGGCTGGAGCCCGGGACCCCGTACCGCGTGTGGCTGAGCGTCCTGGGGCCCTCTGGGGAAGGGCCCCCCGCCGAGGTGACGGCGCACACGGGTGAGCCCAGAGGCCGTCCTTCCCGCGCTCTCCTCTCTTCCCCGCGTGACCTCCTGCTTGTCTGCGCCCTGTGAGCTCGAGTGACTTCCCCGCAGCCCCCGGCCTCCCGGTGCCGGGTGACCCCTCCCGGTGCCGGGTGACCCCTCCTGGTGCCGGGTGACCCCTCCTGGTGCGGGTGACCCCTCCTGGTGCGGGTGACCCCTCCTGGTGCCGGGTGACCCCTCCTGGTGCCGGGTGACCCCTCCTGGTGCGGGTGACCCCTCCTGGTGCCGGGTGACCCCTCCTGGTGCCGGGTGACCCCTCCCGGTGTCGGGTGACCCCTCCCGGTGCCGGGTGACCCCTCCCGGTGCCGGGTGACCCCTCCTGGTGCTGGTGACCCCTCCTGGTGCGGGTGACCCCTCCTGGTGCCGGGTGACCCCTCCTGGTGCCGGGTGACCCCTCCTGGTGCGGGTGACCCCTCCTGGTGCTGGTGACCCCTCCTGGTGTCGGGTGACCCCTCCTGGTGCCGGGTGACCCCTCCTGGTGCTGGTGACCCCTCCTGGTGCCGGGTGACCCCTCCTGGTGCCGGGTGACCCCTCCTGGTGCTGGTGACCCCTCCTGGTGCCGGGTGACCCCTCCTGGTGCTGGTGACCCCTCCTGGTGCCGGGTGACCCCTCCTGGTGCTGGTGACCCCTCCCGGTGCTGGGCGACCCCGCATGACCTCCCTGTCGCCGCCTTCGCTGGCAGAGCCTGCCCGGGGCCCCTCAGGCCCGGCCCTCGGGTGCTCCAGACACAGGCTGAGCCCGCCCGCTCCCCCGCAGAGCCACTGCGTGTCCAGGGCCCGGAGCTGCGTGTGGTGGGCACGTCCGTGGACTCGGTGACCCTGGCCTGGAGCCCTGTGCCCGGAGCATCCAGCTTCATCCTGTCCTGGCGGCCGCTGGAGGGCCGAGGTGAGGGGGCCGGGGCCTGGGGGCCGGTGGGGAGCCCCAGGGGCTGGTGCTGAGCCCAGGGCGTCCCCTGCAGAGCCGCCCGGGGCCTCAGAGACGCTGCCCGGCACCTCGAGCTCCCAGCGGGTGACGGGCCTGGCGCCCGGCGTGTCCTACGTCTTCTCCCTGACCGCCGTCCAGGAGGGCGTCCGGGGCGCCCCGGCCACGGTCACACACAGCCCAGGTAGGCGGCCCTGGGGCGGGGCCTGAGGGGAGGGAGCCCGGCCTCCTCAGTCAGTAACCGCCCCCCTCCCGCAGCATGTCCCCGGGGCCTGATGGACCTGGTGCTCCTGGTGCACGCCACGCGGGACAGCGCCCACCGCGCCGCGGCCGTGAAGGCGGCCCTGGGGCGTCTGGTGTCGGCACTGGGGCCTCTCGGGCCACAGGCGGTCCAGGTTTGGCCCCGGAGGCAGCAGCCAGACCCCTGCTTGCCTGTCCCGCTGCCCCCACCCCGGGCTCCACACCAGCTCCCCCCCCCCCCTCCCCGCCAGCGGTCCTCCCAGCCCCAGGCCCCAGGCCCCAGACTGCCCCTGCTCGGCTTCCGCTCCTGCCATCACTGCGGCCCCTCCTGCTTCAGGTTGAGTCTGCCCCCCGGGCTCGGGGTCCCCCATCCCCGCCCATCACCCCTCCAGGCTCTGTGTCCCCTCCCCCAGGTGGGCCTTCTGACCTACAGCTACCAGGCCTTCCCACTGTTCCCGCTGAACAGCTCCCACGACCTCGGCGTCGTCCTGCAGAAGATCCGAGACATCCCCTACGGGGACCCCAGCGGGAACAACCTGGGTACGGCTGCGGCGGACGGGGTTCGGGGTGTGTGTGTGTGTCCCCACTGGGAGCCCGGCGCCCTGGGCTCTGACACGTCCTTCCCCCAGGCACAGCCGTGGCCTGGGCCCAGAGGTACCTGTTGGCACCAGAAGCTCCCGGCCGCCGAGGGCAGGCGCCAGGGGTGATGGTGCTGCTGGTGGACGAGCCCTTGAGAGGTGACGTCTCCAGCCCCATCCGTGAGGCCCAGGCGGCTGGTGAGCAGCGGGCTGCTGGGGAGGCGCCTGGCGGGGTGGGGGCGGGCCCCGGGGTGCCATGCGGCTGTGCCCCCTCCGTAGGGCTCCAGGTGATGGCCCTGGGCCTGGCGGGGGCCGACCTGGAGCAGCTGCGGCGCTTGGTGCCGGGCACGGGCCCCGTGCGGACCTTCTTCGCCGCGGACGACGGGCCCGCCCTGGACCGGGCGGTCAGCGGCCTGGCAGCCGCCCTGTGCCAGGTGGCTTCTACGGCGCAGGTTCGGAAGGGCCTCGGGTGGGGAGGGGGGGCCGGGCGTGGAGAAGAGGGGGGCTGGCCCGTCCCGGTAGCACTGCCTGGCCTTGAGGAGACCCTGTGTCCGCCCGCAGCCACAGCCCTGCTCGGTGCTCTGTCCGAAGGTCAGTGTCTGGGACGGAGGTGGGGTGAGGGCTGTGCCTGTCGCGGGCCACGCTGACCCTTGTCCGACGTGTCTTTCCCCAGGGCCAGAAGGGGGAAGCCGGAGAGATGGTGAGCAGCCTGTGGGGAGCATGGCTGGGGGCAGGGGGCAGGGGGCAGGGAGGCAGGCAGCCTGGTCTCACTGGCCACCCTTTCTAGGGTCCGAGAGGACGAGACGGGCCCCCCGGCCCCCCTGGCCTCACGGTGAGTGTGTGTGTGTGTGTGTGTGTGTGTGTCCCGTGCGGGTGCCCTGGGCCCTGCCGGCCGCCGGCTCAGTGCTCTCTCCCGCAGGGCAGGGCCGGCGCTCCTGGCCCCCAGGGGCCCCCCGGGCGTGCCCACGAGAAGGGCGAGAGGGTGAGTGTGGCCCCCCAAACTCCCCCATGCCCTGGGGAGAGGGTCGGAGAGCGGGCAGCTAGACCCATGGTGCCCTGGGAGCCGGGCTGCACCCCATCGGCCCTGCTGTGCAGTTATGGCGGGACGGGGAGGGTCTGAAGCAGGGGGCGGGGAGAGCCATGGGTGGAAGTTCTAAGCAAGACCCACTGCCCTGGGCCCACCGCTCGCGGGCTCAGCCAGCCTGGAGGGTGGCCTCTCTCCCCGGCCCCAGCACAGCAGGCCCACAGCACTCACCCTAAAGAGCAGTCTGGGTGCCCCAGGGCCCCGAGGGAGGGACTCCCGCCCTGACCTCTCTGCCTCCTTAGGGCTCCCCTGGGGCAGATGGGGCTCCAGGCAGCCCTGGCCGCCCTGGCACTCCTGGACCGCCTGGCCCCAAGGTGAGTGAGCCTTGCCCGCAGGGCGGGGCACATAGGGGCGGGGGCGCGGGGCGGGACGTGGGGCGGGGCACATAGGGGCGGGGCACATAGGGGCGGGGGCACGGGGCAGGACGTGGGGCGGGGCACATAGGGGCGGGGGCACATAGGGGCGGGGGCGCGTGGTGGGGCACATAGGGATGGGGGCGTGGGGCAGGGCGTGGGGCAGGGCACATAGGGGCGGGGGCGCGGGGCGGGGCACAGGGGCGGGGGGGGGGCGCGGGGGGGGGCACATAGGGGCGGGGGCGCGGGGGGGGGTGCTGGGCGGGGATGCCCTGACTCTGGCCTCCTTTCCAGGGCTCCCCAGGGGCATCCGGCCCTCGTGGATATCCGGTGAGCCGTGGTCCCTCCCCTGCTCGCCCAGCATCTTCCCGGCCCTTTGGGCAGCGCGGGGACCAGGGGCGAGGGGTGGGGGTGGGGGGCCGTGGGGGCCCACCGGGGACTCCCCTGAGATCAAGCATCACCCTTTGCCTGCTTTGTCCTCAGGGAGAGCAAGGACCTCGAGGCCCAAAGGGGGAGCCGGTAAGTGAAGAGGAGGAGGCAGGCTCTAAGGCACCCTAAGGACTAGTGGGGGCACTTCCAGGGGCTCCTCCTCCCCCCCGCAAAGCTCCTGTGCCCAGAATTGCACCCAGGATCCTGCCGCTCTCTGTCCCTGCAGGGAGAGCCCGGCCGGGTGTCGGGGGGAGATGGCCCAGGCCTTCCGGGGCCTCCGGTGAGTTCTCCGGACCTCCCGACCTGAGGGCAGCGAGATGGGGGTGCCCACAGGAGGCAGGCGGATAGGTCTGGGGGTGCTTTACACGCTGTCTCCTCCATCAGGGCCCTCCCGGATCTCCGGGCCCATCGGGGGACCCAGGACTCCGGGGTCTCCCAGGACTTCCTGGGACAGCTGTGAAGGTGACAGCATGACCCCCATGGCCAGTGACCCAGCGACCTGGTGATGCCCTTTGAACCCGCCGGGTCGTTCTGAGCCCGGTGAACCCTGACTCCCCCCACGGGCCCTCAGTTGCCCGTGACCTTCGTCAGTCATCCCGTGGGGCCCCGTGACCCTCCTCCTCCTGTGTGCTGGGGCGTGGAGGGTGGCCCAGGGTCACGAGGTCACCACTTGTCTTCCAGGGTGACAAAGGCGACCGTGGGGAGCGGGTAAGCGAGGGGCCAGGCGGGCAGGGGTGGCTCGGAGCCTGGGTCCCCGTGACCGTCCCCTGACCTGCTATTCCCACCAGGGCCCCCCTGGACCCGGCGAGGGCGGCCCTGCGGCCGGGGACCCCGGGCTGCCGGTAAGGCCGGGCCACGCCCGGCTGGGCGGAGGGGCTGGGGTGCCGCTGGGCCAGGGCGGGTGCCGGCCTCACGGCTGGGGCCTCACATTTCTGATCCCTCCTCCCAGGGTCTTCCCGGGAGCCCCGGACCCCAGGGCCCCACAGGCGCCCCTGGGGAGAAAGGACAGAAGGTAGGACCCTGATCTCGGGGTGCCCGGCGGGGGCAGGGCCTGGGCGCCGGGAGCAGCTCGTCCACCCCCCGTTTCTCCTTCAGGGGGACTGTGAGGACGGAGCCCCAGGCCTCCCAGGACCACCTGGGCTCCCGGTGAGTGGGGGGCACGGCCCCAGCCCCAACCCTCAGCCCTCAGCCCCTGCGCCGCCCTCTGCCCCAGCCTCACCCCTGAACCCCTTCCAGGGCCTGCAGGGACCGCCCGGAGACGCCGGCCCCCGAGTGAGTGCGTTTCAGACCCTTGGGGACCCCCCTAGGAGGGGGTGTTAGGGCTGTGGGCTCAGAGTCCAGGTGGGCGGCGTTGGAACATCAAGGCCCCTCTCCTGTCCGTCCTCAGGGTGACCGGGGGCTGCCAGGGGCTGTGGGTGAGATCGGAGAGAAGGTAAGTCAGCCCGGGGGCTCTCAGGGCCTGGGGGCGGGGGGTGTGGGGGTGTATGGGGCCAGGCTCCACTCTGACCCATTCTGTTCCGTCAGGGCCAACGTGGACCCCCTGGCCCAATGGGACCCCAGGTGAGCCCTGCCCCATGCTAGTGCCCGGTGACCCTCCCGGTCTCACCTCCCACCCTTGAGCCCCTGCCCTGCCCCCTGACCCCCTCACGTGCTGGGGGAGGGACTGGCCTCAGCCCCAGGGACCTGCTTAGCTCTGACCTTGACTTCCAGCGAGCGACCTGGCCGAGTTTGACCCCTGCAGGCCTACAGCCTGGTCTGACCTGACCTCTGCAGCTCCTCTCCCCCTCCAGCCCTGGTTTGCCATTGCCACAACTGCCCGTCCCCACCCCGACCAGCATTTCTCCCCTCTTCCCCAGGGGCTGCCGGGAGTCGCCGGGCACCCGGGCGCGGAGGGCCCCGAGGTGAGGGGGACGGTGGTGGGAGCGGTGCGGGCCTCCCGGCCCCTCCCCCCCGGGCTCACGCTGTCTCCACGCCCAGGGCCCACCAGGACCCACTGGCCGCCGCGGAGAGAAGGTGGGTCGTGGCTGGCAGCTTGTCCCACCCCGACCCCCGTAGCAGGGACTGGGCAGCGAGACACGGGGGCCTTGGGTTTCTCGGGGGTCTGTCCCATCTCTGCCTCTGTCCCTTCTCCGCAGGGAGAGCCCGGCCGCCCGGGGGACCCTGCCTCGGTGAGTGAGGGGGGCTTGAGCTGGGGAGCTCCTCGCGCAGGAGACGGACCTGCCAGCCAGGGACCCGGGACCCCGGGGAGGCGCAGGCCGAGGCTGACTCTCCTGCTATGAAGTGCCTCCGCCCTTGGCTGGGACCCTGTGACCCGTGTCCCCGTGACCGCCATGCTGGTCATGAGCTCCCAGCAGTGACTCAGCTCGGGCACATGAGCTCCGGGGGCCCGGCCAGGACCCCATCCCCACACAAGGCCGTGGTTCGGGCCAGCAAGCTGTCTGTCCTGTTTGTTTGCAGGGACCTGATGGCGGGGGAGTCAAAGGAGAGAAGGTGAGGCTGGGGAAAGGCAGGGAGGCTGTCACAGGGCAGAGGTCAAGGTCACAGGGAGGCCCGGAGGCCGTGAGGCTGTGCCGTGATTGCTGGTGGTCTCTGTCCCTCCAGGGAGAAGCGGGGCCCAGAGGAGCTGCGGGAGCCAAGGGGGAGCCGGTGAGTGAGGGCGTGCGGGCAGGAGGGGGATGGGGGCTGAAGGCTCGAACCCCGACTTCTCATTCTTCCACCCCCAGGGCCCTCCTGGCCTCGCTCTTCCTGGAGACCCAGGCCCCAAGGGCGACCCTGGGAGCCGGGTGAGTCCTGTGGGGGAGGGGCCGGCGGGTGGGGGAGGGGCCAGCGGATGGAGGTGTCTGGGAGACCAGCTGAGTCCTGTGGGCCCCCCCCCCCCCCGCTGTGTCCGCAGGGCCCCATCGGCCTCACCGGCAGAGCGGGACCCCCGGTGAGTGCCTGTGACCTGGGTGAGGCCGGGGCGGGGGGTTCCCCTCCCGGGGCCGGCCCCGCACGCAGCCCATTCTTGCCCCCTCCCCAGGGTGACTCAGGGGCTCCTGGAGAGAAGGGCGACCCTGGGCGGCCCGGGCCCCCAGGACCTGTCGGCCCCCGAGGAAGAGACGTAAGGGGGCCATGGGGTGTCCCGGATGGGGAGTCCCGGATTGGGAGTCCGGGGTTGGGAGTCCCGGATGGGGAGTCTGAGATTGGGAATACCGGATGGGGAGTCCGGGATGGGGGGTCCGGGATGTGGGGTTCGGGATTCGGGGTCCGGGATGGGGGGTCCGGGATGGGGGGTCCGGGATGGGCGGTGTCGGGATGGGGGGTCCGGGATGGGGGGTGTCGGGATGGGGGGTCCGGGATGGGGGGTCCGGGATGGGGAGTCCGGGATTGGGGGTCCCGGATGGGGGGTCCAGGATGGGGGGTCCGGGATGGGGGGTCCCGGATGGGGAGTCCCGGATTGGGAGTCCCGGATGGGGAGTCCCGGATTGGGAGTCCGGGATGGGGGGTCCTGGATTGGGGGTCCGGGATGGGGGATCCGGGATGGGGAGTCTGGGATGGGGGGTCCTGGATTGGGGGTCCGGGATTGGGGGTCCGGGATGGGAGGTCCTGGATTGGGGGTCCAGGATGGGGGGTCCCGGATGGGGGGTGTCGGGATGGGAGGTCCTGGATTGGGGGTCCGGGATGGGGGTCCCGGCGTGTTGGGGTCTTGGGACCCGGCTGACTCATGTCTCACAGGGCGAAGCTGGCGAGAAAGGCGACGAGGGCCCCCCGGTGAGACCCCCTGCCTGTGGGGTCTTCCCCTTTACCTTTGAACTGGGACCCCTGGGCTGGGACCTCCCCAGGGCATCCGTCCCCCCCTCCCCTGACCTGCCGGTGTGCCCAGTGCCCAGGCCCCGAGCTGGTCAGCCTCGCTCACCACCCCGTGGGCTTTCTCTCCCCAGGGGGACCCGGGTCTGCCCGGAAAAGCTGGCGAGCGTGGCCTGCGGGTGAGGCATGGCAGGAGGCGGGCGGGGCGGCCGGTGGAGGGCGAGTGGCGGGAACCACGGGGAGAGAAGGGACCCTGCGGGCGGCGGGCGGTGACGGCAATCCCTGGCTGGCTTTTGGGGTGACGGGGAACCTGGGACAGCAGAGGGGGCTGGGGGCCCTGAGAAGTGCCGGGAGGCTCGGCTCTGACCGCCGTCTTCCCCAGGGGCCACTGGGAGCTCGGGGGCCTGTGGGTGAGAAGGGAGACCAGGGAGATCCCGGAGAGGACGGACGGAACGTAAGTCCTCACCCCTGACCCCGGCCTCTGACCTCAGCTTCCAGCCCCAGCCATCCAGATCCCAAGCCCTGGTCCTGCCACCCCAGCCTTGAAATGCTGCCCCTCACAAGCCTCACTTCCTGTGAGCCCCTTGTCATGACCCCCAAAGGCCACCGGGGCCCCCTGAGTCCTTGGGGTGCTCCCAAGGCTCCCTGAAACGGAACTGCTGCATAAACTTGGCCTCTGACCCTGCAGGGCAGCCCTGGCCCCTCTGGGCCCAAAGGGGACCGCGGGGAGCCGGTGAGTCCTCGGGGTTCTGGGCCCGGGGAGGCGGGGGGGTGCTGGTGCTGGAGGTTTCTAGTCTCCATCTGGTCAGCAGCGGCCACATAGGCGGCTGGAGGTCAAGGTGGAGAGCTGAGGGTCCTCCAGGCCTGCCCGGCCCTCTGGGTTGGCCCTGGCTGGCTGCGGAGCCTCTGGGAGGGCAGACCTGAGCCAGGCCTGGGGCTCCGGGCTCCGGGTGACCGCGATTTCCTCTCTAGGGCCCCCCAGGACCCCCGGGACGGCTGGTAAGGGTTGAGCTAGGTCTGGTCCTCTGGCCCCTCGCTGTGTCCCCTCCTCCCTCCACTGACGCCCCCGCCCCAGTGCCCTCGGCACCTTCACTGACCCGCAGCCCTCCGCGGCCCCCTCTGCCCGCCGCCGCTTTTCCGTTTGAACCCCTCCCTGCCGTTCCCCCGCAGGTGGACTCGGGGCCCGGAGCCAGAGAGAAGGTACCGGGTCTGTGGGTGGCCTGAGGCGGGGCACCGGGCCTCCCGGGACCCAGGCCTCTCTGCCGCGCGTGCCCGTGGCTCAGCCTGTGCCGCCCACGTCCGTCTCTGCCGCAGGGAGAGCCGGGCGACCGGGGACAGGAAGGACCTCCGGGACCCAAGGGCGACCCCGGGCCCCCCGGAGCCCCCGGGGAGAGGGTGAGTGGGGCTGGCGGGGGGAGGGGGGGGTAGGGCCTGGGAAGCCGGCGCTGACTTCTCCTTGCCTGGTCCTCAGGGTGTCGCCGGACTGCGGGGGGCCCCGGGCCCACAGGTGAGTGATGTGCGCGATCCCGTACAACTTCTAAAACAATTGTATCGAGTTCAGAGAGGAAGGGAGAGGGAGAGAGAGAAGCATCTGTGACGAGAGGGAATCGTGGGTCGGCTGCCTCCTACACGCCCCTCACTGGGCATCGAGCCCGCAGCCCGGGCCGTGCCCCGAGGGGGACCGCACCAGCGACCTGGGGTTCTGGGTTGCTGCCCAGCCCCTGGGCCACGCCGGCCGGGCCCTGCGCCCCGTGGCTCTCCCCGTCACTGACCTTGTTCCGCCAGGGGGACCCAGGAGCTCGCGGCCTCGCAGGAGACAAGGTGAGACTCAGGAGGCGGAGGTGCTGGCTGTGGCTGGGCTCCGCCCGGGAGGCCTCTTACCGCTCGGTTCTCCCCAGGGCGACCGAGGCCCCCCTGGCCTGGATGGCCGCAACGGGCTGGATGGGAAGCCAGGAGCCACTGGGCCCCCTGGGCTGCACGTGAGTCGTGGGGGTCCCCGCCCCGCCCCGCGCCCCTGAGTGGCCCCGGCCTCGCGGGGTCTTCTTGGCATGGGTGTGCTCCGGGCGGGCCATGTGCGCCTCCTAGGGCCTGCCGGGGGGGGGGGTGCTCTACCCTCAGGCCGTGGGCCCATAATGACCACTGTGGGCTCCCTGACCGTGGTCTCTCCTCAGGGTGCTCCGGGCAAAGCTGGGGACCCAGGGAGAGACGTAAGTAAGGGGAGGCATCAGGCGGGGGCAGGGTTCAGCCATCACCAGTGTCCATCTGGGGGAAGGAGGTGGTCACATCCTGTCCTGAGGGGGGGGTCCCGTCCTAGCAGATGTTAGCCGAGCCCCACCTTCTGGCCTCTGCCTCAGGGATCTCAGTGGCACTCCCAGCTCCGGGCTCTCTACACTGGAGGAGCATCTTTTTAAAAATATGTGTTTATTGGTTCAGAGAGGAAGGGAGAGGAGAGAGAAACCTCCATGATGAGAGAATCGTGAACCGGCTGCCTCCTGCACAGCCCCCCACTGGGGATGGAGCCTGCAACCGGGACACGTGCCCGTGGCTGGGAACCAAACCGTGACCCCTGGTCACAGGTCAGCTCTGAGGTCACAGGTCACGCTCGGCCCCTGCCAGGCTGGAGGAGATCCTAATGGGGTCCTCCCAGCCCGCGGGCGCCAGGGATTCTGTGTCCCCTCCGTCCTACAAAGGCTTTTTCCAGGGGCTTCCGGGCCTCCGAGGAGACCAGGGACCTCCCGGCCCCGCCGGCCCCCCTGGAGCGCCGGTGAGTCTTGGTTTCCTGGTGCCCTCTGCCCCCCGACCGCCCGCACCCCAACTCTGACCTCCGGCCAATGATCTCTTCCTGCAGGGAAAGCCGGGCGAGGACGGCAGGCCGGGCCTGAACGGGAAAAACGTGAGTGTCCGGGCAACGGCGAACCTGCCGAGGAGCACACGCACACAGCCCGGGTGCAGACAGGGAGTACACACGCAGACCACCTGCACACGCACACACACAGGACACACAGACCACCTGCACATGTGCACACACAGGACACACAGACCACCTGCACATGCGCACACACGGGACACACAGACCACCTGCACACACACACACACGACACGCAAACCACCTGCACACACACACGGGACACAGGCAGGGCTGCAGACACAGAGGCACACACAGACCACCTGCACACGCACACACACTGGACACACAGGCCACCTGCACGCACACACACACACACACACGGGACACGCAGGCCACCTGCACACGCACACAGACTGGGGTGCAGGCACAGAGGCACACACACACACACACACACGACACGCAGACCACCTGCACATGCACATGTGGTATGTGCGCCACCGACTGAAATGAGGTGCCTAAGAGTTTCAGAGAAGTCACAGACACTTCTCCAGCCCCAGGGACGTACAGACACGTGTTCACCCAGTGCGTGCGGCACAAGCCCCGTCCACACACACCGACCCAGTGTCGCCCACGGGACACGCAGACCCATGCACAAGCACACGTGCTGACACAGAGACCCAGGATATGTGTAGAAGCCAGAGACAGGAGCACGTGTGTTGTAAGTGTGGAGCCAGCAGACCTGCACAGGCACACCGCTCCCACGGATGGCCAGGCCACAGGCCACGCTCCAGGACTACGGGGGGTGGGGGCCGTGGCACAGAGGGCCGCTGGCAGCTGCCCAGAGGGTCAGACGCTGGGAATGTCTGGCTGAGTCGTCGTCTGTCCGCAGGGAGAAGCGGGGGACCCCGGAGAAGACGGGAGGAAGGTAAGGCCCTGCCCCTGGGCTTCGCTGGGCCGGAGCCGGCCGGTGGCTGCAGCGCCCTGTCTTCCTTCCACAGGGGGAGAAGGGAGACTCAGGCGCCCCTGGGAGAGAAGTGAGTGCGATCTTCCTCAGCCCCTGACCCTGCCCTGCCCCTGCCCCGGGGATCCCGCTCCGGCTCTGGGACCTCAGGGCTGACGCCGGTGCCTCCTCCCCAGGGTCACGAGGGCCCCAAGGGCGACCGCGGAGCCCCTGGCAGCCCTGGCCTCCCCGGCCCCCCGGGCCTCCCCGGGCAGGTGGGCCCGCCCGGCCAGGTGAGTGTCAGGGCCGGCGAGGACGTGGGCGCAGCCGCGGCCCCGTGTGACCCCGTGTGACCCCGTGCTCTCACCTCCCAGGGTTTCCCCGGCGTCGCAGGCAGCCCGGGCCCCAAGGTGAGTGTACGTGCTGGGCGGGAGGGGGGGGGGTCCCGGGCTGGCCTCCCCACCTGATGGTTTTCGTGCTCAGGGTGACCGGGGGGACACCGGATCCAAAGGCGAGCAGGTGAGGCCCCCCTTCCCGCCCGGTGGCCACAGGCCCCACACGTGCGCACACGCCCCCACACGTGCGCACGCGGCCCCACGCGGCCCAGCAGCCTGTCTCTGCCCCAGGGCCTCCCGGGAGAGCGCGGCCTGAGAGGAGAGCCAGGGAGTGGGCCGGTGAGTGGCGGGGCCTCCCTGTCGCCCCTGCGCGAGGTCCCACACGGTCTGTCCGCTTGCTCGGCCCGTCCTGCTGGGATTGCTGTATCCTCCCTACCCCCCCACCCCCATCATCCCCCGGAACCTGGGGCCACGCCTGGCGGGCTTCCAGGGTCCTGCACCCTCCACGGGGCTGAGTCCCTGTGAAAGGCGGGGGGCGGGCGTGGAGGGGGGGGGTGGAGGGGGCATGGGGGCTGGGGGGGGGGCATGGAGGCCGGGGTCAGGCATGGAGGCCGGGGGGGCATGGAGGCCAGGGGGGCATGGAGGGGGGACATGGAGGGGCATGGAGGCCAGGGGTCGGGCATGGAGGGGGGACATAGAGGGGCGGGCATGGAGGGGGGCATGGAGGGGCGGGCATGGAGGCTAGGGGGGCATGGAGGCCGGGGGGGGCAGGCATGAAGGCCAGGAGCGGGCATGGAGGCCGGCGGGGGTGGGCATGGAGGCTAGGGGGGCATGGAGGGAGGGCCAGGGCTGTCCCCTTCCGGCAGTCCCTCACCAGCTGTGTTTCCAGAACGTGGAGCGGCTGCTGGAAAACATCGGGATCAAGGTAGGTGGTTTGGGGTCTGGGGGGGTGCAATGGGCTAAGTACGCCCACGGGGCGGCCGGCCTGGCTGCAGCCATGCCCTGCCCTCTGCTCCCTGTCAGACCTCAGCCCTGCGGGACATGGTGGAGACCTGGCAGGGGGGCGCCAGCGGCTTCCTGCCCGGGCCTGAGAGGCGCGGCCCCAAGGGGGACCCCGGCGAGCCGGGCCCTGCGGGCAAGCAGGTGCGTGCGGGCTGCCCAGGGCACGGGGGGGGGGCGGGGGGTGGTGCAGGGCCGCACGGCCACCAGCACTCACGCCTCTCTCCGCCAGGGCCCCATCGGCTTCTCCGGAGACCGCGGGCCCAAGGGAGACCGTGGAGACCCCGGCCCTCAGGGGCCGCCCGGCCTGGCCCTCGGGGAGAGGGGCGCCCCGGGCCCTCCCGGCCTGGCTGGGGAGCCTGGGAAGCCGGGCATTCCCGGGCTCCCGGGCTCGGCTGGGGCTGCGGGGGAGGCAGGAAGGCCAGGAGAACGGGTGAGCCTGGGGGTGCCGGGAACCAGGGAAGGGGGGAGGGAGCCAGACTCCCCACAAACACACCCACCCCACCATGTGCACTTCAGGGAGAACGGGGAGAGAAAGGCGAACGTGGAGAGCAGGTGAGCTGGGGGGGGGTCTCTCAGGGGGAGAGGGGGCCCCCGAGAGGCCTCACAGGGCAGCCACCCACTCTCTCTCTCCCCTGCAGGGCAGAGCCGGCCCCCCGGGCCTCCCCGGACCCCCCGGACCGCCCGGTGACAAGGTGACCGCCTGCTCTGCCCTAGGCCTGCGGCTTCTGCCGCTCAGAAGCCACCCTTGTGGAGGCCCAGCAACTCCACGTGGTGTCTCTGACCCGTGACCTCTGGCCCCTCCATGCCCCCATGACAGACCACCCTCCCTCTGACCTTGTGCTCACAGGTGGACGTGGACAAGCCAGGTCCTGGGCCCTCGGGGGAGCAAGGACCCCCCGGACCCAAGGGCGCGAAGGTGGGTGTGGGGGGTCAGCCGGGGGCCAGCCTCCCGCCTGGGCGCCAGGGCCTGGCCTGACATGTGTCCTCACAGGGGGAGCCAGGCAGTGACGGCGACCGCGGCCCCAAAGGAGACAGGGTGAGCCCTCCCCTCCCTTCCCCTTCTCCCCTCCCCTTCTCCCCTCCTTTGTGGGCCTGCTGGGCAGGTGGGGTGTGGGCACCCAGCAGGGCAGTGACAGCTCCTCCTCTGCAGGGGGCGCCGGGCGTCAAGGGCGAGCAGGGGGAGCCTGGACAGAGGGGCCTGGGCGGCCTCCCGGTGAGTCCTGACAGCGCCAGTGTCTGCAGCTCCTGGGACACTTGGGGGAGCGGGGGGGGGAGGGGGGGGACAGCGGGCCTGAACCCCCTCTCTGCAGGGTCTGCCCGGAGAGCGCGGTGTGGCTGGGCCCGAAGGAAAGCCGGTGAGTGGAGGCAGGAAGCTGGCCGGCGCTGCTGGCTGCTGGGCACCCGCTCCCGGGCTCGGGGCGGGGGGTGGGGGATGGGGGGTGTCTGTGCCTGGGTGTGGGTGTGGGTGCGGATGCAGGATTTGTGTATGTGGGGGGGGGGGTCGTGTGTGCACGTATGTGCTGTCTGCGGAGCAGCCTGTGGGCAGGGTGACCTGTGCTGGGGTGGAGGCTGATGGAGGCTCAGCACCCCCTTCTCTCTCCAGGGACTGCAAGGCCCCAGGGGGGCCCCTGGCCCAGCCGTGAGTACCCAGAATCCCCTTCCCCGCCCCTCCTGCCCAGCCCCACAGCGGGCAGCGGCCTCACCGACCCTCTCCCCACCAGGGTGGCCACGGAGACCCCGGACCGCCCGGGGCCCCGGTGAGTGACAGGGGGCTCTGCCCGCAGGGGCGGGACAGGGCAGGCCCACGGAGAAGCAGACCTTGTCTGTGTTCATCCCTGAGCCCAGGTGGGTGGCTCTGACCTCTGACCCCTGACCCCTTCCCCTCGGCACCTCTCTCCAGGGTCTCGCTGGCCCCGCGGGACCGCAGGGACCGTCCGGGCTGAAGGTGAGGGAGGCGTGGGGGAGGTGTGGGGGTGTGGTGGGAGGAGGGGGTGTGGTGGGAGGAGGGGGCGAGCCGCCTGCGCCCCTGGCGGCCGCCTGCTACTGCGTGTGTGTGTGTGGGGGGGGGGGGGGGGGCCGGGCCTGTCCGCTCACGCCCCGTCTTCGCAGGGGGAGCCGGGAGAGACAGGCCCGCCCGGACGGGTGAGTAGCCAGACCGTGGCCGGAGTCACAGGGAGGGGCGGGGGGCGACGGGGAGGGGGGTCACGCGCTGACTTCTCTCCCCCAGGGCCTGGCTGGACCTCCTGGACCCGTGGGCCTCCCCGGGCCGCCCGGCGCCTCCGGCCTGGTGGTGAGTGAGCCCGCCCGGTCCCCGTCCCCGTCCCCGTCCCCGTCCCTGCCCGCGCGTCCCCTCACACTTCTCTCCCGCAGGGGCCGCAGGGGCCGCCCGGGCTGCCGGGACAAGTGGTGAGTCCGAGGTCGGGCTGGGCTCCGGTCGGTGGGGGCCGGGGCGGCCCTGACAGCGCCCTTCCTCCAGGGGGAGACGGGGAAGCCGGGAGCCCCCGGGCGTGACGGAGCCGGCGGCAAAGACGGAGACCGAGGAGCCCCGGGAGTGCCGGTGTGTCCTGGCGGGCTCCCAGGAGGGGGAGGAGGGGAGGAGGAGCGGAAGGGAGGAGGGAGGAGGAGGACGAGGAGGAGGAGGAGGAGGGGAAGGAGGGGGAGGCACTGAGCTCCTCACTGTTCTGCCACAGGGGTCGCCCGGCCTGCCCGGCCCTGTCGGGCCTAAAGGAGAACCTGGACCCATGGGGACCCCCGGACAGGTGACCTTGGACCCCCAGCTTGGTTGGCAGGGCCGCCGGGGGCAGAGTGGGGGCCGCGGCAGGAGGTGTGGGAGCTCACTGGCCTTCCCCGCAGGCTGTGGCCGGGCCCCCTGGCGCGAAGGGGGAGAAGGTGAGTGTGGGGGCGCCCGGGAAGTGGGGCGCGGGGCGGCCCGATCCCCGCTGAGCCCTCTCCCCACAGGGAGCCCCCGGAGGCCTTGCCCGCGACCTGGTGGGAGAGCCGGTGAGTATGGCACCGCCCGCCCGCCCACAGCCCCGTGCCCTTGGACCCGGCGCCCTAGCACCACCTTTGACCCGCCACCTCCTGCTGCCCCGCAGGGAGCCAAGGGGGACCGTGGACTGCCCGGGCCGCGGGGAGAGAAGGTGAGGCCGGGCCAGGCTGCGCCCCGGGCGGGGAGGGGGCGGCAGACCCTCACCCCGTTTCTGCGCAGGGAGAAGCCGGCCGCGCGGGGGAGCCTGGAGACCCGGGGGAAGATGTGAGTCTGGCCCGGCGCCCGGGGGGTGGGGGTGCCATCGCACACGGGCCCGGGTCTGCTGGCCTGAGCCCACGCCCAGGCCCGGCGGTTCACGCTCCGGACCGCACGGCCCAGGCCCTGACCCTCCCGGGCTCGGACGGCAGAGCGTGGCCCTCCCCGCCCGGCGGTGCTGCGTGTGCCCGGCGGTGTCTGTGGACTGACGTGTCCGAGCTCCACACATCACGCTCACGTCCATGGCCCACTTGTCTGTGGTCACCTCAGCCCCCCGGAGTCCCTGATCCCCTCTGAGCCCCCACCAGCCATTCCGTGTCACACGCCTGCGTCCCCGGTGCCCGTGTCACACGCCTGCGTCCCCGGTGCCCGTGTCACACGCCTGCGTCCCCGGTGCCCGTGTCACACGCCTACGTCCCCGGTGCCCGTGTCACACGTCTGTGTCCCCGGTGCCCGTGTCACACGCCTGCGTCCCCGGTGCCCGTGTCACACGTCTGTGTCCCCGGTGCCCATGTCACACGCCTGCGTCCCCGGTGCCCGTGTCACACGCCTGCGTCCCCGGTGCCCGTGTCACACGTCTGTGTCCCCGGTGCCCGTGTCACACGCCTGCGTCTCCGGTGCCCGTGTCACACGTCTGTGTCCCCGGTGCCCGCGGTCCCGTCTGCCTCGGCTCCCGGGGACCCTCGCACATGCCCCCTCAGCTGCCTCCTTTGCCTTTTCAGGGCTTCAAAGGAGCCCCGGGACTCAAGGGCCAGAAGGTACGTGCACTCGAAGTGTCCCTGAGGGGGGTCGCACCCTGAGCCGCCCTGCCTAACCATCCCCTTTCCCTCGAAGGGTGACCCAGGAGTCGGGGCGCAGGGCCCCCCTGGGCCAGGCGGTCCTCCGGGTGCGAAGGTGAGCCGCCGCCCCGCCTGGAGGGGAGGCAGAGGGCGGGGCCGGCGGGGGCCGGCGGGGGCCGGAGGGGAGGCAGAGGGCGGGGCCGGCGGGGGCCGGCGGGGGCCGGACCGCTCCTCCCTTGCTCTCCGTGTCCAGGGGGACGTGGGCGCCTCGGGCCCGCCCGGCGCTCCTGGCATCGTTGGCTTCCCCGGGCAGACGGGCCCTCGGGGAGAGGCGGGCCAGCCGGGCCCCGGCGGAGAGCGGGTAAGGGGCCGGGGCGGGCGGCAGAGAGGCGGCCGGCCTGCAGCCCGTGTGTGGGAGGCGGGGGGTGGGGGGACCCAGTCACCTTGCTCCTCGCTCGCTCTCCCTCCCGCAGGGCCTGGCCGGTGCCCCGGGCAGAGAGGGGGCCCCCGGTCCCTCGGGGCCTCCGGGACCACCAGGGCCGGCGGTGAGTGAGGTGCCCGCCGTGTCCGTCCTGAGGACGCCGGTCCGCACGGAGCCTGGGGGGGCTGCGCCACGCTGGGGGGGCTGGGGGCTGGGGGTGCCTCCGAGGGGCCCTGACCCTCACCCCCTCTGCCCACAGGGAGCACCCGGGGCCTCCGGACTCAAAGGAGACAAGGTAGGCAGGACGGTGTGCTGGCTCCCCTGATCCCGTCACCCCACCCACTGACCCCCCCACCCCACTGACCCCCTCCACCCACTGACCCCCCCACCCCACTGACCCCTCCACCCACTGACCCCCCCACCCCACTGACCTGCCATGGCCCCCTGCCTGCCCCCGCCCCCCGATTCCGGGCTCTGACCCTGGTGCCCTCTCACCTGCAGGGGGACCCTGGAGCGGGGCTGCCCGGGGCGCGTGGAGAGCGTGGGGAGCCGGGCCTCCGGGTACGTATCTGCCCGTGGACGCGCCACCCGGGACCCCTTACGGCTCCTCTCTGTACCCCCACGTCTGTACCCCCACATCTGACTGAATACCGTCACCATCCAGGGTGAAGACGGCCACCCCGGCCAGGAGGGACCCCGAGGCCCTGCGGTGGGTCCCAGAAGGCGGGGGGGGGGGGGGGGGGGGAGGGGGGGGTGGACACACACACTCTGTGCCCTGGGGACTCGGCCCCGCCCCCTCCTCCCTCTGCCCCGCCTCCTCTCTGGGCCTTTGTCCCCGCATTTCCCCGGGCTCCCCCCGACCCACCCCCCATGACCTGTGTCCCCCCGGCCGCCCAGCTCACAGGCTTCTCTCTCCCAGGGCCCCCCAGGCAGCCGGGGGGAACGCGGGGAGAAGGTAAGGACTTGGGGAAGGCTGGGGTGGGTGCCTGGAGGTGGGGTGGCCCTGTAAGTCAGGGCTGGGGACCCTCGGTCTGGGGAGACTCACACGCTTACCCCCACAGGGCGACCCTGGAGCCGCGGGGCTGAAGGGTGACCGGGTGAGTGTGGGCCCGGGTGGGGGTGCGGGGGGGACTCGGGGCTCCTGGCGGCTCTGACCGTCCCGAACACGCAGGGCGACGCGGCTGTGGTGCTGGGGCCGCCGGGGCCCCGCGGCGCCAAGGGGGACGCGGTGAGTAGCTGCCCACGTGCAGGCCGGCCTCCCTGGGGGCGGGGCCAGGAGATCCGAGGGTGAGAGACCCCCAGCCCCTGACCCTGACCCTGACCCCGGACCCTGACCCAGGGTGAGCGAGGGCTGCGAGGTGCAGATGGCGAGAAAGGACCTCGGGGAGACACCGGGCTTCCTGGAGAGAAGGTACGGGCAGGAGGGGCTCCCTGGGGTCAGGAGGGTTCCTGGGAGGCGGGGAGGGAGGGGGAGGGGTGGTACACTGGAGGGGGCAGGGAAGGCGGGGAGGGGGAGGGGAGGGGGCTTTCTGGGCCTCAGAGGGGAGTCGGTGGCCACAGTGACCTCTGGGTCAGCGCACAGCTGGGCTGCACAGAGGCTCAAGGGCCTCAATGGAGGTCATGGGGGTGCGGCTCTGGGAACAGGAAAAGGCTTCTTGGGGTCAGGGCCCCCAGGTGGTAGGAGGGTGGGGCACAGCCACGCCAGGGCGGGCAGCGGGGGCAGCAGGGGCAGGTCCCGTCGCCGCTCCGCCTGCGGTGTGACCGTCCGTGTGTGTGTGTGTGTGTGTGTGTGTGTCCCGCAGGGCAGCAGCGGGGAGCCCGGGGACAAGGGCGCGGCCGGGCCGCCCGGAGCTCGCGGACCTGCAGGACCTCAGGCAAGGCTCCCCACCACACTGGCCACACGTGCCCACGCACATACACACGCACGCACACGCATACACACGCACGCACACACATCACACACGGGGCCCGGGGGGGACGGGGCAGGGGTTCCCGCTCCCTCCCTCCAGCGTGTCCTACAGGGTCGGTGCAGCTGGGCCCTGACCAGCCCCCGCGGCTGCTTCTGGGGCGGGAGGCCGTGTGGGGGGCAGTCCACTCAGGGCCACCTCCTCCTGTTTCCCTAGGGGGGGCCCGGTGCCGCGGGGATCCCTGGAGACCCGGTAAGGCGCGTCCCCCCTCTCCCTCCCCTCCCCTTCCCATTACCCCCCTCACGTGGCGACCTTTGACCCTACGACGCCCCAGGACTCCATGGTGTCATCGAGTTGCCCGCGGCCCCCACCATCACAGTGACCCCTGACCCCCGGAATGTCCTGCCCCCAAGGCTGCCTCCCCCCACGCTGTTCTGTCCGGACAAGCCCCCTGACCCTCCCTGACCCGGCCTCTGTTGCCCTCTCCCCAGGGGTCCCCAGGAAGGGACGGAGCCCCCGGCCTCCGTGGAGAGAAAGGAGAGATGGGCTTTGCGGGTCCCCGCGGCCTCAAGGTGGGAAGGGACCGGGCGCTTTCCTGGCCGGGAGGCCTGATGCTGGAGGGCGCGGTGTCGGGGTCAGAGGTTGCGGTGTCCGGGTTGGCCGTGGGGATGGCGGTCAGGGCTCGCTGGGCGAGGCCGGTTGGGAAGTGGCTTCGGGGCTCGGGGGCGGGGGGGGCAGCCGGGGTCCCCCACACCTGCCAGGGCCCCCCACACCGGCTCTCCCCGCAGGGCGAGCGCGGGCTGAAGGGCGCCTGTGGCCTGGACGGCGAGAAGGGCGACAAGGTGAGGTGAGCGGGCGGGGCGGCCGCCGGGCGAGGGCCCCGCTGACCCCCCTGTCCCGCAGGGCGAGGCGGGGCCCCCGGGCCGACACGGGCCGGCCGGACACAAGGGCGACCCGGGGGAGCCGGGGGAGCCGGGCCAGGCGGGGGCCCCTGGCAAGGAGGGCCTGGTCGGCCCCAAGGTACGGCCTCTCCCTCGCGGGCCGGGTGTCGGAGGGGCAGGGAGCCGGCGGGTCGGGGTGTCGGGCTGTCGGGGTGTCGGAGGGGCAGGGAGCCGGCGGGTCGGGGTGTCGGAGGGGCAGGGAGCCGGCGGGTCGGGGTGTCGGGGGGTCGGGGGGTCGGGGTGTCGGGCTGTTGGGGTGTCGGAGGGGCAGGGAGCCGGCGGGTCGGGGTGTCGGGGTGTTGGGCTGTCGGGCTGTCGGGGTGTCGGGAGCAGGAGCTGTGGGGCTGGGACACTGGCTGTCTTGGGGTTTCGGGTGGGGGTGGGAGGGCTGAGGTGGGGGGGGCGGGGTCAGAGGGTCAGAGTGCAGGTTACCGTGGGGGCAGTCCTGGGGGCACATGGCTGCGGGCTCCAGGCTCAGAGGGTCCCCGGTGCTTGGGCTCCGGGAGGTGTGGCCACGGGGAGGCCAAGACAGAGGGTCCCTCACACTTCCTTCCGTTGCCAGGGCGACCGGGGCTTTGACGGGCAGACGGGGCCCATGGGTGACCAGGGCGAGAAAGGGGAGCGGGTAAGTGGAGGCCAAGGTGGGGTGAACCGGGGCTGGGGGGCTGGTGCTCTCCTCGGGGGCTCTGAGCACTGACGCTGACCTGTTTCTACCCAGGGCCCCCCAGGAATTGGGGGCCTCCCAGGGCCCCGGGGCAGTGATGGTGCCCGTGGTCCCCCCGGGCCTCCCGGCAGTGTGGGGCCCAAAGGCTCGGAAGGACTCCAAGGCCAGAAGGTGAGGGGCCCCGACTCTCCCAGCCTCACGGACCTGGGATCCTAACCTCTGACCCTATGAACCCCACATGCCCTACTTCCCACCCCAAATCTCTGACCCTGCTCCCTCGGCCTTTGTGTCCCACAGGGTGAGCGAGGGCCCCGTGGAGAGGGCGTGGTGGGGGCCCCCGGCGCCCCTGGGGCCCCCGGAGAGAGAGGGGAACAGGTGAGTGGGGATTCCTGGGCTTGGGGTCAGGGTGGGTGACCTCCGGCGTCCCTGAGCTCAGGCCACAGCCTGGTCCCCCGTTGCACGTAGGGGCGGCCTGGACCTGCCGGCCCCCGAGGCGAGAAGGGACAAGCTGCGCTGACCGTGAGTGTGCCGGGTGGGCTGGGCCTGCCCGGACAACACCCTGCCCCTCACCGGGCCTGACTGTCCCTCGCGCTCCTGCCCTGTGCCCTTTGTTCGTCCCTGACCCTCGTGGCCGCGCCCAGGAGGACGACATCCGGGGCTTCGTGCGCCAGGAGCTGGGCCAGCACTGCGGTGAGTGGGCGCCCCACACTCCCCCGCCCGGCGGTGCCGGCGTCAGCGGGTGGGCTGGAGGGACGCGGGACTTCCCCGGGGGCCCAGGAGGAGCAGACGATGGGCTGTGGTCTCTGAGGCCCGTGTGGCGTGTGGAGGCAGTGGGCGGGCAGGGGCGGGGGGGGGGGCACCGAGCGGGTCCCTGGGCCTGACATGGGGCGGGGGAGGGGCTCTGGCCCCGAAGGCATCTGCCCCCCCCCCCGCCCCTCTGTCTCACGTTGGTCCCTGTGTCCTCTCCTGCCCTTTGCTCACTCTGTTCCCAACTTCTCTCCATCCCTCCTCGTCCTCCTCGGCCTCTGTGCTCCGTCCCCCTGTGCTCTTCGTCCTCCCTCCGTCCTCCCTCCGTCCTCCCTGTGCTCTCCGTCCTCCTCTCCATCCTCGCTGTGTGCCCCCCTCGGTGCCGCTTCCCTGCTCCCTCTCATTGTGTCATCGTCGTCCCGTCCCCCCCAGCCTGCCAGGGCCAGTTCCTCGCGTCTGGATCCCGTGAGTAGTTTCCTGGTATTTTCTGCCCCAGAACTTCCCTCCCCCAGGCCTCTTGCCCATCACCTGGCCCTCAGCAGGGGCGGGGCTGGGTGGCCACAGTGGTGACCTGGCCTGTCCCCTCCCCCTGCTCAGGGCCCTGCACCCTCTCCCTGCTCAGGGCCCTGCACCCTCTCCCTGCTCAGGGCCCTGCACCCTCTCCCTGCTCAGGGCCCTGCACCCCCCCCTGCTCAGGGCCCTGTCCCCTCCCCCTGCTCAGGGCCCTGCACTCCCCCCTGCTCAGGGCCCTGTCCCCTCCCCCTGCTCAGGGCCCTGCACCCCCCCCTGCTCAGGGCCCTGTCCCCTCTCCCTGCTCAGGGCCCTGTCCCCTCCCCCTGCTCAGGGCCCTGCACCCTCTTCCTGCTCAGGGCCCTGCACCCTCTCCCTGCTCAGGGCCCTGCACGCCCCCCTGCTCAGGGCCCTGTCCCCTCCCCCTGCTCAGGGCCCTGTCCCCTCTCCCTGCTCAGGGCCCTGCACCCTCTCCCTGCTCAGGGCCCTGCACCCCCCCTGCTCAGGGCCCTGCACCCTCTCCCTGCTCAGGGCCCTGCACCCCCCCCTGCTCAGGGCCCTGCACCCTCTCTTCTCAGGGCCTGTCCCCTCTCCCTGCTCAGGGCCCTGCACCCCCCCCTGCTCAGGGCCCTGCACCCTCTCCCTGCTCAGGGCCCTGCACCCTCTCCCTGCTCAGGGCCCTGCACCCTCTCCCTGCTCAGGGCCCTGCACCCTCTCCCTGCTCAGGGCCCTGCACCCTCTCCCTGCTCAGGGCCCTGCACCCCCCCCTGCTCAGGGCCCTGTCCCCTCCCCCTGCTCAGGGCCCTGCACCCCCCCCTGCTCAGGGCCCTGCACCCTCTCCCTGCTCAGGGCCCTGCACCCTCTCTGCTCAGGGCCCTGCACCCTCTCCCTGCTCAGGGCCTGTCCCCTCTCCCTGCTCAGGGCCCTGCACCCTCTCCCTGCTCAGGGCCCTGCACCCTCTCTGCTCAGGGCCCTGCACCCCCCCCTGCTCAGGGCCCTGCACCCTCTCCCTGCTCAGGGCCCTGCACCCTCTCTCTGCTCAGGGCCCTGCACCCTCTCCCTGCTCAGGGCCCTGCACCCTCTCTCTGCTCAGGGCCCTGCACCCTCTCTGCTCAGGGCCCTGCACCCTCTCTCTGCTCAGGGCCCTGCACCCCCCCCTGCTCAGGGCCCTGCACCCTCTCTCTGCTCAGGGCCCTGCACCCTCTCCCTGCTCAGGGCCCTGCACCCTCTCTCTGCTCAGGGCCCTGCACCCTCTCTCTGCTCAGGGCCCTGCACCCTCTCTGCTCAGGGCCCTGCACCCTCTCTCTGCTCAGGGCCCCTGCCTAGTTACGCGGACGCCAGCGGCCGCCAGCGCCTCCCGGTGCTGCAGGTCTCCCATGCGGAGGAGGAAGGTGAGGGCTGCGCACCGGGGGCGTGGCAGGCGGGGCGCGGGCACAGCAGGGCACACGCGTGCACATGCGCACACACGTGGGAGGTGTGGCTGGGGCTGGCCCGCAGCGCCCCCACAGCACCCCCACCGCCCCCGCAGACCGAGTGCCCCCCGAGGACGATGAGTACGAGGACGAGTACCCCGGGGAGGACGCCCAGGACCCCCTGGCCCCCTGGGACGGCGACGGCGGTGAGAGCGGGGCAGGCGCAGGGTTCGGGGCAGGCTCCCTCTCGGCTGCCCCCGCCCCGCCGCTGACCTGAGCCCTGGACCCCAGACCCCTGCTGGCTGCCGCTGGACGAGGGCTCCTGCTCCGCCTACACGCTGCGCTGGTACCACCGGGCCGCCGCGGGGGGCGCCCGGGCCTGCCACCCCTTCGTCTACGGCGGCTGCGGAGGGAACGCCAACCGCTTCGCCACCCGGGAGGCCTGTGAGCGCCGCTGCCCGCCCCGCGGGGCCCCGAGCCCGGCAGCAGGTACGCCGCGGCCCCCGGGCCGGGCGGGACAGGCCCGCCGTGCGGCTCCCACCAGCCCCCTCCCTTCACCCCATTGGATAAGGACCCCGCTCCGAGGTCAGACCCCCACCCTTCCCCGGCCCCCTCTCCCAGTGCCGCTGGGCCCACGAGGGTGAGGGGGTGGGTGAGGGGGTGGGTGAGGGTGAGGGTGAGGGTGAGGGTAAGGGGGTGGGTGAGGGTGAGGGTGAGGGGGTGGATGAGGGGGTGGGTGAGGGTGAGGATGAGGGGGTGGATGAGGGGGTGGGTGAGGGTGAGGATGAGGATGAGGGGGTGGGTGAGGGTGAGGGTGAGGATGAGGATGAGGGGGTGGGTGAGGGTGAGGATGAGGGGGTGGATGAGGGGGTGGGTGAGGGTGAGGATGAGGATGAGGGGGTGGGTGAGGATGAGGGGGTGGGTGAGGGTGAGGGTGAGGGTGTGGGTGAGGGTGAGGGTGAGGGGGTGGGTGAGGGGGTGGGTGAGGGTGAGGGTGAGGGTGAGGGTGGGGTGTGGGTGAGGGTGAGGGTGAGGATGAGGGTGAGGGGGTGGGTGAGGGTGAGGGTGAGGGTGAGGATGAGGGGGTGGGTGAGGGTGAGGATGAGGATGAGGGGTTGGGTGAGGATGAGGGGGTGGGTGAGGGTGAGGATGAGGATGAGGGGTGGGTGAGGGTGAGGGTGAGGGTGAGGGTGAGGGGGTGGATGAGGGGGTGGGTGAGGATGAGGGGGTGGGTGAGGATGAGGGGGTGGGTGAGGATGAGGGGGTGGGTGAGGGTGAGGGGGTGGGTGAGGGTGAGGGGGTGGGTGAGGGGGAGGGGGTGGGTGAGGGTGAGGGTGAGGATGAGGGGGTGGGTGAGGGTGAGGGGGAGGGTGAGGGTGCGGCTAAAGACAGGACCCCCCCCCCCACCAGGTGCTCTCCAGCACTGAGCCCCAGATGCGGCTGAAGTTCAGCGACCCTGGAGGCGGGGTCTTTCCTGGTGCTAGCGGCTCGTGTGCGGGAGCGTGCACACGTCCGCCCATCCATCCGTCTGTCCGTTCGTTGTCTCGGTGACTGGCCCCGGGGCTGGCCGTGCCCTGTGGACAGGCCCCCATTGTGGCGCCGGCCGATGGCTCAGTGTGGGGTGGCCGTGGGCAGGAGCGGATGTGACTCCGCCGCCCGCCCCTCGCCCCGGGCTGGTGACATGGTGCTGATGGGGCATTAAAGCTGCTGCTGTGAAAGGCCCCTGTGTGACTGGCTGCTGGGGTGGTCAGGGCTGCCCTGCCTGGCGTGGAGCCCCTCTGCAGCCCGGTGACTGTCCTGTGACCCTCAGCCCTCCACGTGTCCCCGAAGGAGCAGCTGGGGGTCTGTCCTCACTGCCCCCGGGAGGGGGTGAGGCACGGCGGGGGCTGCCTGTGCCAGCAGCCGAACCCCAGTCCCGCCCCCCACCCCCCACCCCCAGCTGAGGGCGATAAATGGGCCCCAGGGGCAGAGGGTGAGCCAGCCCTCGGCAGCCCGGTGCCTGGCCTTTCCCGCGGAGGCTGCTGCTCCTGGTAGGACGGGCGGGTGGTCGGAAGGGCGGGCAGGGCCTGGGGTTGAGTGGACCTGGGGGTGGGCGAGTGAAGGTCTCTGGACCTGAGGAGGCTCCGGGTCCCTGGCTGCTGCTCCCCAAGGACCTACTGCGGGGCCCGTGCGCAGACCGCAGGCCGCCTGGCCCTGCCCTCCGGGTCTGTCTCCGCTGCCATGCCTTCCGGGGTCTGCCTGCGCCTGGGTCTCCTCCAGCTGCCTCTGCCGCTCTGCCTCCGCCTCTCCTCCTGTCACCATCCCCTCCTTCCCGCCCCCCGTCTCTCTCTCCCTCCGTATACATGTGTGTGCTGGACACTCGCCATCTCTGGGTTTCTCTCTCTCTTTTTTAAGGTTTTTTTAAAAAATATTTTTATTGATTTCAGAGAGGAAAGGAAAGGTAGAGAGAGAAAGAAATGAAAGGACATCACTGATTGGCCGCCTCTTGCACACCCACAGGGATCGAGCCCACAACCCGGGCGTGTGGCCCAGACCGGGAGTCAAACCGTGACCTCTGGCTCGAAGGTGGACGCTCGGCCCCTGAGCCACGCCGCCCGGACCCCGGGCCGCTTTCTCTGTCTCTTTATCTATCTCTGTCGCTCACTCTCTGCCTCACCCTCTGTCTCTGGCCCCTTCTCTGTGTCTCCCTGCTCTCACTGTGTCTCTCTCTGTGCCTGGCCTGGCCTCAGCCTCTGTCTCAGGGTCTGGGTCCCCCCTCTCTCTGTCTCTGTCCCGCCCACAGCCGCCCACAGCCTCTGCCCTGAGCCTCTTCTCTCCTCACAGCCTGACTGCGATGCCCGGGTGGGTGATGGCGCTGATGGTCCTGGCGCTGGGCGGGGTCCCGCTGGCCTCAGCGACCCCTGTCCCGGCCCCACAGCTCCCGGCGCAGCACTCCCCCCCGGCCACCCCCCGCCCTGCGGCCTCGGAGAGCCCCCCAGCCAGCCCCGCGGGGAGCCAGCCCGGGCCCCGCCCCGGCCCCCGCATCACCCTCTCGCTGGATGTGCCCCTGGGCCTCCAGCAGATCGTCCTGGCCCAGGCCCGGGCCCGAGCCCTGTGGGAGCAGGCGGCCGCCAACGCCCGCATCCTGGCCCAGGTGGGCCGCCGCTGAGCGGGGGAGGGCCGCCGCGGAGCCGGACAGCACGCCTGGGCATGGACATCGGGCTCATCACGTGGGCACCGCCACGTGGGGCCACATCACACCTGCGCGCCTCGGTCCCGTGGGCCCGGACAGCTCGGACACGCCATGGGAGTCACTGCCCGTGCCAGCTTGTTACGTGTGGGTGCCCCATGGTCACGGAGCACCTGGACACCACCCTGTGGTCACCACCACTGCACCCGAGACCGCCCACTGAGACCAGCTCCCCGGCGGCCGGCCCCTTCCTGAGCCCGTTTCCTCGGCCGCCCTCGTCCCCCAAACGGCGGAGCCGCCGCGCTCCGTGCCCCCGTGGTGGGGGAGTGAGGGCTCTGCCCGCAGCAGTGCTCCGTGACCGGCGGGGAGGACGGCCAGTCACCCGTTCCACGGTGTGGGCACCAGGCGGGGACTCGGAGGCTGTCACCGCGGCTCTGCTGCCCGCCCACTCGGGCTGCCCACACCGGCCCTCGGTGTGCCAGGAGGAGGCTTCCCTTATTTCACACTCTTTAAAAAGCATGCTTTTTATTGGTTCAGAGAGAGAGAGAATCAATGATGGGAGAGAACCATCGATGGGCTGCCTCCTGCACACCCCCAATGGGGATGGAGCCCACAACCCGGGCTGTGCCCTGACCGGGAATCAAACCACGACCTCCTGGTTCCTAGGCCGATGCTCAGCCACGGAGCCACACTGGTGGGGCTTATCTCACTCTCCCGTCTCCATTGCCGGCCCGAGAGGCCTGGCCGGGTGCTGTGGGCGGGCGGCTGGGGGCGGGCAGACAGCTCCCGCTGCAGACGGGGCAGAGCGGGCGCATGGACAGCTCTGGCGGAAAGAGGCAGCCCTGGCGGGCGGGCGGGCGTGGGGCCGCCTGGAGTGGGGGCCCTGGTGTTGATCCGGTGCAGGCGGCCTGGGGGCGGGGCTGCAGGGGCGGGGCCCCAGGGCACACCCCTCTCCAGAGCTGAGGGCGGGGTTGCTGGGCTCCATGCTGCTGGGGGTGGAACCCGGGCCAGTTGGGCTGCAGCATGGACAGAGGCTCGGAAGGAGGCAGCTCGCCGATGGACCCTGGGCCAAGGAGCAGCAGGCGGGGTAGGCACAGGTGGCCTGGAGGGGGTGGGGGGCAGGGACGGTCTGGGTGCGGCGGGGGTGGTGCTGGAAGGAGGGCGAGGCTGGTGGGGGTCTCGGCAGGTACAGGGGTGCTCTGAGGGGCACCGGCCGGCTGTGGTCAGGAAGAGGGGAACACGGGCGCCTCGCGGGGAGAGGGAGCGGGCCCAGGGGGAGCTATAAATAGTGCTTCCTGCGGCCGGGGGAGGGACCGCCAGCTGGAGCTGCTCGGGCCTCCTGCTGGGCCCTGCGCTGGCCTCCTAGGGGGTCACGCCGTTCAGGTCCCCCTGAGGGGTCAGACCGGTCTGGGGAGGTCCTGAGGCTCCTTTGGGACGTTTTTCACAGGATGTGGCTTGAGCCGTAAACCAGCACTTTCAGGACACCTACTGCGGCCTGTGGCCTCCTGAGTTGACGAAGCACCTATTGTGTGCTCTGCCCTGCCCATGCGCCGCTCGGGGTCCTGTCCGGGCCCCTGGCTGCGCACCTACTGCGTGCCAGGCCGGGATCAGCAAGTGCAGGCCAGGGTTCCCGGCTCCCCGGCCACGTGACCCCGTGTCTCCCAGTGGCCTCACGCCCTGTGCAGGCTCTGGACCCAGGGAGGCCCCGGGGATGCTCCTTGGCCGGAAGTGGCCAGAGGAAGCCGGGACTCCTGGGAGCTCTCCGAACCTCCAGGGGCAGCCGAGGGAGAGGAGGAGGGGCGTGAAGGCGGAGGGAGGCAGCAGAGAGCAGGGCCCGGGCGCGGGCTTGTCCGTGCGTGTGTACCTGCAGCCGTGTGCACACGCGTGCGTTCACCCACTGACGTGTGGGTCTGCGTGGTATTCCCCGGGATCCCCAGCCTTCCCGCTGCGAAGGCTGGCCTGGTGGTCGGCCAGGGCCGGTCAGCAGTCAGGATGGGAGAGTTTGAGCACTGAGGACACTGCGAGGTCCAGTGGACAGTGCAGCAGGCACTCCGGGAGGCAACCAGGGCCGGGGGGCTCATGTGGGGAGACTGAGAGGACACGCTCACACACTGACATCAGCACGTCCCCCCCTGGGCCGGGACAGCTGGCTCGCTTTGGCATGGCTAAGGGGGTACAGCCAGGAGGGCACCCACTGGCCTGAGGGTGAGGAGCAGGAGAGTTCAGGTGTGGCCGTGGGAGTGGCTGCGAGGAGGAGGGTCTCTGAGGGCTGCAGGGGGCCCGGCCTCTCCTGCATTGCTCTGTGGCCCCTGCCTGCTGTAGGGACCTGGGCGGGGAGATGGGGGTCAGCCCGGGGTCAGACTGTGTGGGGAAGAGTGGGAGGTGGCGAGCTATTGCATTTCCTAGGAAGCCAGGCCCATGCTCTCGGGGTGTGGTGGCGGCTGCCCAGACTTGGCCCTGGCCTCCCGCCCTGCCCTGGCTGCCCTTTCCCCCAGCTTTTGATTGACAGCCCATGGGGTGGGGGGCAGGCCTGAGGGTGCTGGGTGTCTGATGTCCGCGGAGGCGGCCTCTGCAGTGAGAGCTGGTGCTGGACAGCGTGTGGGCCTGGGTGACCAAGGCTCTGACTTTGGCCTTGGGATGACCTTGGCCGTGGCCGGGAGACAGGGAGGAGGCTGGCTGTGGCAGGAACGGATGAGTGGCTGAAGAGGAGTAGGAAGCTGCCGGGAAGTCACAAGGGGCGTCCTGCTCCCAGGAGCCACCCACACCCACGGGTGTGCTCAGAGCTGCCAGGCATGAGGTGGAGGCAGCTGGGCGGGCACAGCAGAGGGAGGGGGAGGGGGAAGTGGCTGGATCTGTCGGAGGAGACAGGAGGCAGAGCATCCGAGGGGCGGGTGGCCAGAGCCAGAGCCGGTTTCAGGGCGGGCCCAGGTGGGCTCCCAGCAGGTGTATTTCTGGGAAGTGGGCAGGCCCCTGTACGGGCATCTTAAGGTCCTGGCCAGACTCTGAAGGGCTGGGTGGGAATTTGGGGAACTGACACAAGGCAGGGGCGTGGCCAGGAGGGCAGAGGAGGGGTGCTGGGTGTACCCGCTGACCCCTGTTCACGCCCAGCACCTGGTTCCGGCCAGGCACCCTGGGGCAGAGAGAACGTGAGGCTGAGGGGCACTGTCCAGGGTGTGGTGGAGCCGCCGCTAGAGGGCAGTGCGAGGGGCTCCAGGACCCCAGGGCCCCGGCTGGGAAGAGTCCACAGCGTGCAGACAGGAGAGGCCAGGAGATCCTGAGCTTCCACTTTCCGCCCTGCCCCTCGCCTCCACTGCGTTTGAGACAGGAGACAAGTCATACAATAAATGATAACATGAATGTGCCTGAGTGGATTTTTCAGACATTGACACATTTCATCTATGCCAGAATCTTGCAAGATTTTTTAAAAAATATTTTTTTCATTGATTTCAGAGAAGAAGGGAGAGGGAGATAGAGCATCAGTGATGGGAGAGAATCATGGATCGGCTGCCTCCTGCAAGCCCCACACTGGGGATCGAGCCTGCAACCTGGGCCTGTGCCATGAGCCTTGTGTGCCAGGACCTTGTAAGATTGGTGATGCACGGTCCATCCTCGGCGAGTCCCCGGAGAGCTTGGGTACCAGCTCCCACTCACTTGCTCCAGGTGGACCGGTGCTTCGCCCGAGCTCCCCAGCAGCTGAGGCAAGAGAGAAACACGACCAATTCTGAACCGTGTTCTGGGTCCCTGTCTGTGATCAAGGGCCTTTCCCCGCTCCTGAGAGCCGTGCAAGGCGCTCCGGGGGAGGGGGGTGCAGGGCACGGCGGAGTTGACAGCCAAGACTTCAGGCCAGCCGAAACTGGTTTGGCTCAGTGGAGAGCGCTGCGGTCCGAGGACTGAAAGGTCCCGGGTTCGACTCCAGTCAGGGGCATGTACCTTGGTTGCGGGCACATCCCGGGTAGGAGGCAGCTGATTGATGATTTTCATCGATGTTTCTAACTCTCTATCCCTCTCTCCTCCTCTCTGTTAAAAATCAATAAAATATATTACAAAAAAAAAAGAGTCAGGCCAGTGATCAGTCACGCCTAGGCAGTCCGCCTGGTCCTGACCAATCAAGCCCCGCGGTCCCGTAGGTCCCGCCCCATGCATGGAAGCCCCGCCCTCCTGGGGCCCCGCGGTCCCGCGTGTTGAGGAGCAGGACCCCGGGGGCGAGGCCCTGGGAGAGGCCCGCACAAACCCGCGCGGGCGAGGTGGGGTGCTGGGCTCCTGCACGAGGCCCGAGTGCGCTGAGCATGCGCATCCAGGGTCCGGCAGGGAGGGCGGACGGCGCTGCGGAGTCCGAACCGAAGACGGGCGAGTTGCGCGTGCGCGCTCCGAGGCCACGCCCTCTCCACTTGGGGCGGGGTCTATGCGTCCTGGGCGGGGCCTCGGGTGGGACGTGCGTCGCCGCGGCTGGAAGAGGGGCGGACTGAAGGGCGGGGCCTGCGCGTCCTGGGCGGGGCCTCGGGTGGGACGTGCGTCGCCGCGGCTGGAAGAGGGGCGGGCCGAGGGCGGGGCCTGCGCGTCCTGGGCGGGGCCTGGGGGGGGTTGGACGTGCGTCGCCGCGGCTGGAAGAGGGGCGGGCCGAGGGCGGGGCCTGCGCGTCCTGGGCGGGGCCTCGGGTGGGACGTGCGTCGCCGCGGCTGGATAGGGCGGGCCGAGGGCGGGGCCTGCGCGTCCTGGGCGGGGCCTCGGGTGGGACGTGCGTCGCCGCGGCTGGATAGGGGCGGGCCGAGGGCGGGGCCTGCGCGTCCTGGGCGGGGCCTGGGGGGGTTGGACGTGCGTCGCCGCGGCTGGAAGAGGGGCGGGCCGAGGGCGGGGCCTCAGCGGGCGGGGCCTCAGCGGCCGGAGCGGCCGGCTGCCGGGGCCTCACCGCGCCTCCGTCCGCTCGGCTCGGGATGGCGTCCCCGCGGGAGCTGACGCAGAACCCCCTCAGGAAGATCTGGATGCCCTACAGCAACGGGCGGCCGGCCCTGCACGCCTGCCAGCGCCGCGGTGAGGGCCGCGGGGCGGAGGCGGGGCCGGGCGGGATGGACGGGCGGCCCGGGCGGCGGTCCCTCGGGGAGGGGGCCGGGAGCCCGGGAGCCGCGCGGCCGAGGCTGCCAGGCCGGTGGGCCGGGCAGGACCGGGTGGTGGGCCGAGGGCAGGGAGGCAGCGCCGGAGGCGGAGCCGGTCTGAGGGGAGCCTCGGCTCGGGGGCCAGGTCTGGTCCGGTCCCTGCGCACCGGGGTCCCCACCGCTCAGGCCCGGGGCCTGGAGCCCTGCCCTCCTCTCTGCTGGGCCGGCCCTGCGGGAGCTGCTGGGCCTCTCTGAGCCCGGCCCCGAGGAGGGGGGAGGCGGGGCCGGGGCCTATCTCCCACCTCTTCACCTCAGGGCACGTTCGTGCAATTTCAGGAAGTGCGGTCCGACCCGATAAGGGACCCGAGGGCTCCGTGCCCTGTGGGCTGGCCCGTCGGTGCTGTGGGCAGAGGTGAACTTTAGGGTGAAACATCTGGGGGACACGCTGAAAGCACGACCTTGTAAGGGGCTCAGCTTTCCTGGGTCTTGGGCGTTTAATCCATGCCTCGACTTCTCACTTGAACTAAAATGAATCTGCAACCTCTTTATTACAAAAAATACACACAAAAACAGAGAAGATGGTCCTAGGAGTAATGGCCAGGACCTCAGAGAACAGCTAGTCCACCTCCTGGGGCAGAAATGGACATGGCGACCAGGAGGCCGGGCTGTGTGCGGGGTCTCCCTGCCCCTGGCTCTGCGTGGCGGTGACCCGGGAGGGAGAGTGCTGTGCTGGGCCCGCATGGTGGCCAGCGAGGGCCTTGGTGTGAGA